GGCTGATAGTGAGTCTGACGAGGATTGTCGTACTTAAATGAGAGTAGAAGAGATCGTGCTTTTTAAATGATAGAGTTTCGATGAGACAGATTGTGCTTAGAACGAGAGGACTTTGCTGACGGACTGAGTGCGTGAATCTAGCGGGAGGGCAAAAGACTGACTCTTGTCAATGTACATGGCGTATTTTAAGTTGTAAGGTAAAAGGGGTCCTTGACGTTACGGAAAACGAGAGTTATGTGAAATGGAGAATGGTGGCACTGAGCCTGCCAGGGTAGAGTAGCGGGAATGAGTGAGAGTACGACAGTTTTTGAATGGAGGTGGTATTAGGTAGCTCGCCATGCACAGGAATGACAAGAATCGTTGGGTATCTGACTGCTTTTGGGCGAAGGAATGAAACTAAAAGGGAGTGACGAGAAATAGTTTGGTGATAATTCCAGGGTATAGTATGAATGAGGGTAAAAAAGAGTGAGCTGGTCGTTGAGAGTAACGAGAGAGTAAGGGTTAAGGAAAAAGGAATGTGTCCGCATAACTCGGATGCGAAGCATGCGCTTCTTCGCATCCATGAGTCACATGGATGGTTCTGGACTTGCGTCCTTGAACCTTGATTTGAAGATGCGGTCGGGGTGTAGAGGATGTGCGATCCTTACAGTCCATTCATTAATGTACCGGTAGTCTTGACAGGGGCGAAGGGAGCCGTCCTTCTTTCCTACAAAGAAGAAGCCTGAGGCTTGAGGCGACTTCGATGGTTGGATAAAATCTTTCTGGATATGTTCATCCAGAAACACTTTAACCGCTTCTGTTTCTTTTGGAGAGAGCGGGTAAGCACGGGAAGATTTTGGGATAAAACCTTCCTTTGTTTCGATCCGGTGGTCTACACCTGGTCTCGATGGCGGGAGCTTGTTAAGCCCATCCTTCGCAAATATATCTGCGAAGTCGTGAAGGTATTCGGGGACAAGCTCTTCGAATGGTTTCTTCTTCGTTTCCTGAGCTTTGTCCTTGGCGAATTCCTGCGCCTTGTTACTGGTCTTTGTGTACTCCTCCTTCGCCGTAGCAAGGATCCAAATATTGCGAAGGGGAGTCTTTCTTGTCTTTGTGGTCTCTGTCTTGGAGGTCCCATCCCTTGTTAGGGGAGTGTCGAAGGTGAGGTTCTCAATCAGTCTGACCGAAGAACCATCGGCCGAGTATTCTATAAGAATCTTGTCGTCAGTCAAAGGGTAAGTCGCAACTTCCTTGACTTCGGGTAGGGGGTCGATCTTCCCTACCCAGACGTCTTCCATGACGTTGGTTTCTTGAGGCATTTCGAAATGCTTTTCTTCGGTGGGTACCTCCTTGGCAGGTTTTGCCTTCTTCGTTTTCTTTTTCTTCTTCTTGCGTCGAATTTCTTCGAGTATGTGCTCCGTACCCAAGGGAAGTGATTTGAGAGGTTTGAAAGGGGCTTCTTCTTCATCCTCAACAATTGGTCGAAGACCTTCGAATTGATAAGGGGTTACCCCGTTCTTCCTTCAAATTTTGTTGAGTCGTTCCTCAATGTATCTGGATCTGGGTGTGGGGAGCATTGTGATTTCGTTGCGTCCCCAATCAATATCCGGTTTCATGGCGGATAGCCAGGGTTTCCCTAGCAGAATTTTGTCTCGTTCGGAAAGTCTGGTGACGTTAAACTTTCCCCACATGGTTCGTCCGTCGAGTCGGGCGAAGAGCATGCAGTATCAGGTGACCTTCCCAGCAGTGGATTGGCTTCCATCTACCGTAGTGATGCGGAAGGGTTTCTTCAGGAGGTGGGTTCTAATATTGTGCTTCTTTACGAAGGTATCACAAATAAATGTTCCCCCAGCCCCTGAGTCGATGATGGCTGTTGTTGCAACGGTTTTCGTACTTGTGGAAGAGAAAAGTGTCACCAGGACATGGAATTCATTTTCTTTTCCTACAGTATGAGTACACAGAATATCTAAGGAGGGGACGCACATTGCTCTTGCTGTCCTCTGCTTTAAAAATCCTTTTCTTCTTGGAGCCGGTTGGTCTCCATGTCGTCTCCGGAGCTTTCGTCATCACACTGGTCTCTACCAGTCATTACCGGAGTCTTTCCTTTGGTATCTTTCTTCTCTCCACGTCGTATCTTCAGGTGGAATCTGGGATCGTTGGCTCTGCGGCCATGCTCTTTGCATGAGAAGCAAAGGCCCTTCTTGTAGCATTCGTCTTTCTCTGCCTAAGAGAGGGTGCGATCTACGTCCATAGTGTTAGGGTTTCTGGACGATGAGACATTGGGCTTGGGGTAGTGCTTGGAACCGCGAGGGGCGTATTGGGAGTGTTGGTTTCGGGAGTTGGCAGAGACGGCCTTGCTCCTGCGGTAGTTAGCATCGAGCTGAACTGCAGAAGTGTACCACTTTTCGATAGTGTCAGGAAGTGTCTCCTTCCTGTAGATTGCTTCGTGAAGGCTTGGGTTCAGGCCTTTCTCAAAGAAGTGTGAGAGTGTCACGCCTTCCTTGATATTGGCGATGGTAGCCAACATTTTGAACTTCGAGATGTAGTCTGTAACGTTGTTTCCCATTCTGAGTTTGGCGATTTCGGTGAGGGCATTCACCTGCTTATCAATGGGTTGAAATGCAAGGTTGAATCCTTTCTCAAATTCGGCGAAGGTTCTGAATTTCGGAAGGTTGGTGCTGAAAGCTTCGCGATAGAAGTTATCAGCCCATGCTTTAGCACTGTTCTTTGTCATTAATGACAGGGCGACTGAGACCATGGTCTGCTCGCTGTTATAGATGGTATAATTGATGAGAAAATACGCCTTTAAGCTGTAGAGCCATCGTTGTGCGTCGTCGGTATCACCATCGAAGTCCGATGGTGCTCCTGCTTTGAGTTCAGGGGCATGGACGACGACAGCAGTGGAGGAGGATGATGGGTTAGACATTCTTGTCTTCGGATTGGTGCTAGTGTTTCGGGGAGGTACTTCGTCTGGAAAGTCCTCTTCAGAAGTCGGAGTGTTTCCTAGATCTTCTTCGTCGTTCAGTCCCTCGTCTGAGTGGTACTGCTCTGTCAGTGAGGTGGGAGAGCTAAACTGTCCGTCTACCTCTTCTTCATCAGGATCTTCCTGATTCGGGTCACGCTCCCAAGAGAACTTGCGTGTCCAGGGAGTGGTCGTCTTGTATCTGTTTCTGTCCTTGATAGGTGTCGAGGGCTAGAAGGTAACTTGAATCTTTTGTTACGACTTGGATGGTATCTGTTGGCGACGCTCAAACAGAGTGTGTGTTGTCAACGGTCGAGGACGTCCTTGGGCTGGCCCAAGGTTAGGGGTCTTACTTGGTGAGGCTTCGGCAAGTGAGATTTGACGCCTATGTCCAAATCGGGTAGCTTACGTCAAGCGGATGCTAGACGATGAGCTGTATCTGCCAAGGCTTACGACACCCGAAGGTTAATCGTAAGATCGTCATTAATTAGAAGGACAGAAGTCCGACTAGTTAACAGGGGCTTTGCTCATCGACGAAGTCGATGAGTAAAGATCGAGACTATAGGCTTATCCGCGAAGAGCAGATAAGAAGATAGAATATAGACTGCTGGCTAGGCAGAAAGGATCACTCTGGTGAGAGTAGGAGGTCAAGAACCAAGTAGATTCAAGTTAAGGAATATAGTACATGGTAGCGAGTTTATATAGAGGACAGGAGGCATATTAGTGGGTGATAACTTGTACTACCAAGTGAAGTAAATGATAAAGGGCATAACCATAAAAGGAAGGCATGTTCGGGGTGAGACACAGGTGAACCAGAACGTGCTTGATAAGAAGGTGAGTCAACGGTCAAAATAAGAAGTGAAACACGCAGGGGCACGATCGTGCAACTGCGGATCTAAGTATAAGTAACATGTGCGACTGCGCACTGAGTCAGAGATCGAAAAAGGGAAAAGGGCAAAGGGGATGTGTTGTGAATCATATCATAGGTTACTGTCCGGACAGTAAGGGCAAAGGGACTGTCCACAGGATCAGTCAGGTGGTGAAACAGAGCATGGGTATGCTTCGTCAGCGAAAGGATCCAGCCAGATGTACTGGCTCTGCTGAAGCGACAGGTAGAGGGCAAAAGGGAATGCGAGGATGACAAGGATAACGAGGGTGAGGTCAGGGTAAGGGTATGATGCGAGGGCTGATACGAGAAGGATGAGGAGAAAAATGGTAGGGGCCCAAGCGTCTAGATGTTCTTGTAACAATGACCGGTGCCCATCATTGATTCTCTGCAGTGGACCCTCACATCAGGTGAAGGATGATGTCGCGTGACTCTGTGGTTGCAGTTCCATCTCCAGGAATGACTGCAGCAATTTTGCTAACAGTGGGTAAATTATACCGTCGGTGATCACGGTTCGGATCTGCAAGTAGGCGAATAGTGATAGGTGAATCATCAGACTGAGCGGAGAGAATCTCATGTGCATGTCGAAATATTGCAGCATATCGGTGATTTTGAAGCAAGAGCGTCTGGAGCTGTTCCATGGTACGTCAACAAAGATTTTCATTGCGCTGCATGCATTCATCAAGAGCCATACATGGATCATAGATATACAACTGTGCATACACTGGATGACAGCCTTCTGATGGTATGATGTGTCCAATATGGTGGCACAATTGCCCATGAATGCGAAACACAGTAAGGTCCCCTTCCTGCATTGATTGCATGATCTACGTTAACTCCCAAGGAGGTGAATGCAAGGGCAGTGTTGTACTGGCGAATATTCGACTGAAACTCAATAGCTTCAGGTGTATGGGTTTCGAAGAGCTGCTGGAGGTAAGATGGTGGGTGTCGCAGCCGAGGCACTCGAACCTGATCCTGGTCACAGCAAATTCCAAATAGTGGTCTTAATTTCGATGATGAAGAGAGGTGTTCATCCATCCAGTGTAGCGCATGGCAATAAGGGCAGACTACTGTCATTTGACCCAGGTCATGGCGAGAGCGTGGGTCTACATATGGACACCGTGCAATAGGAAGATTAACAGGATCCCTCCACACAACTGTATTTTGGTCATCTCACAGTGGTGGGTGAGGTCGAGCAAGGACATCTGCCCCACATAAAGGGTGCTGTTCGAGGGGCTCATGCTCATGATGATGAGGTTGCCCATGCTCGATCTGCTCTTCAGCATGTTCATGCTCCAATTGCGAGTGGAAGGGAATATCTACATCCATATGCACTCCTGGAGTCTGTGGCTCCGCCCTTGGTACAGATAGCACACGTGGTTCATTGGATGCAATTGGTGTGGCTACCTGGCGGCTGCGCTCCTTTTCTGCACGTTCACGTGCACGACGGCGCTGCTGACCAAGTGAGCGCTTATTTACTGACTCTGTAGGAGCATGGTGCATAGCTTCCTTCTCAACATGTTCACGTGCACAACGTCACTGCTGCGCAAGCAAGCACTTATTCACCTCAGCAGGAGGGAGCACAGGATCATGCTCTGAACGCTCGTGTTCTCGATTGAATGTGGTAACGGGGGGGGATCGACTGTGGGGACGCATCCTGAATATAGTCTTTGAGCCATGGAATTTGGAATTGAAGTTCATGGCAGGAAGAACCCTGCAAGAATTCAGAATTAATTTGAGTGCGACTCTGAGATTCAAATAGCCAGCACCCACAGCTTCAGCATACTATGAAGCGAGAGAATGAAACATAACTCACCGAGTCGCTAAATAAGCTAGATGTAGCACATCGCTTCCGTGCTTCAAGAGTTTCCGACTCTATACATGGGATATTCTCATCAGAATTCTCCCGCGCCCGTTTGCGACAGCTCATTTTCGGACCCAGTGTGGGGGCTACAGCCACATTTGGCAGCGTGTTCAAGGAGTCATTGAACGGCTTAAATAAACTTTGCTGAAGGATGATCTTGTAAGAATGAAATAGCAATGAGTTAAATGTCACGTTACCTGGAGAGTGTCATACTCCTGCGAGGATGCATGTCCACTGATGGATTGAGCACTGGTTGCAGAACTGATGAAGGAGTCACAAAAGCCACTTCAAAGTTCACTGAAATCACATACCTTGTGGATTCGAGATCTGCATGTGCGTGCATTAGGTATAAGGCCTTGGGGCTTTGGCTAATAAGGTGATTGGCGAGCGCCGAGTACCGTTGGTTGGTGCCAGCGTGTCAGTCATGTGAGATGTGAGGCATGTGAGAAGGTAGCCAGCCAATGAGAATGTCTGTCAAGTTTGTCTCTACTACACGTGACTGAGCGATTTTATTATAATAGATATCAATTGCCCCATGTGCTTCTGGAGACAGACCCCCAGCAAGGAGGGAGAACAACATCCCAGTTGCTTCTGCCAGCCCTTTCAAGAATGAGTTGGCGACTGCCACAAGTTTGTCGAGGTTTCTTTTTGAAGTGGAGGTAAGTTGGTGATATGGTGCCACTGAACGTAATATGAGTCACTCAGACTCGAGCTCACCATGAGTAATCAGGCATCTGCCTGCGTCTGATTTGCTTATCTTGGATTTTCTGCTGCTTCTGGTCTTCGAGATACTGCTTCACTTGGTCCTTGATATCAGGCAACTCCTGGGCATATAACATCACAGTCTCCTTCTTCACAAGAGCGACATGTTCGCCATTGGTAAGTGACCTGTGTTCTTGAGCAGCTTTCTCCAGGGATCCTTTAACAGTTGGCTGAACACAAGTTGTGTAGAAAAGTTTGGAGTATGCCTCCTGTTCCTGGAGCATGCGCATGGGCTTTTCGGCACACTCAGTAATGCTTCAAATCACAGCATTGATCACCCTTGTTGTATCTGTCTTTGCCTTTCTGCCTGATCTCGAACCTCCTAGACTATTTTTGAATTGAGTATGTAATTTCTTTGTCGTATATATTAGTCACATCGTTATCCAAAGCCTAATGGGCGAATACTCACTGCCTTACGTGCGTCATGAGCCGTGCCCATCTCCATTGACGTCAGGGGTCCTACCTGTGTGATGTGACCTGGCCTTGGTTCTGGGAACTCTGCAAACCATTGTTCACAAAGGTTGGCAAAGAAATTCTTGTAATTCTTGCTTTTTTCACTCTGCTTTACCTTGAATTTTTCATACCAAGGTTGCAACCATGCCTCTTGTTCAACTGATGTCCACCTAGGAGGGGCCATGCTGTTTTTGGTTTTAGTAATATTCACATGTGACGTGTTCCACATACATTAAACTGACTTGATATGTTTTGCTGGGGTAACCGAAATGAAAATTTCAAGAGAGCTGTGTGTTATTGGCGTGCCATCATTATCCCACACACAGATCAGTAAATCTCCCTCGTGCACCAACTAGGGCCTCACATGTAAATCTCCCTTGCACACCAACCAAGGCCTCACGTGTAAATCTCTCTCACATTCCAACCAGGTGTAAATCTCCTTTGCACACCAACCAGGGTGCATACACAAACTCAGGTATGTTCTAGTATTATATTTGAATGAATTCAACCTGAGCATTCAGAACACGCAGTAAATCTCCCTTGCATACCAACCAACATATATAACTCTCTGGCACACTCACTATGGGCCGACCTCAATTGTACAACTCACCCGAAGAAAAGGCAAGAGCTGCTCATATGTACAGACAGGCATATAAAAACAGGTATGTCATCGACTAACTACTGTAACTCCACTCATAAAATTTCTGTGTAGGAACATGAAATCTATAGACCAAAAGCTATTCACAGTAATTGGCAACTCATCCCGTGATTTCACAGAAACTCTCTGTTGCGCATTGATTCAGTGTGAGGAGTCTGAAGTGCTGAATGCGCTCATTGATATCCTCGCAGCGCTTGATATAATCGAGGATCTAGAACTAGAGGCACACAAGGTAGGAAGTGCGGTACTCACACATGTGCGAGAGGTCAGGGTGTCACTACAAGATATAATTGCGTGGGTTAGGATTGATATGGATGCCTTGGATGAAGCGTACGAAAAGGGGGAGATTTATCACCAATATTCTGACAGTATCTGTGTATGTCCGTAATCCTATTAGACAAGTCAATGAAGTCGCTATTGGTGGCTGATGCATGTTGTATTACAGTTGATTCTCCATTCCCTCTCAACACAGAAACTTCTATCCCTTTCTGGGTCTCGTATCCGGGCCCTCAGGCTGTCATTTAATGGATCTGTGATGGACCATACACTGGAATACATCCCCCTGCCGGTTCCTCACATCCTCGTTGACTCGTCTATTTTCCCAGTCTGCACAATCATCATGCTGCATCCCCCCATTCACAAAACAGAACAAGCAAAACTTGCAGCAAGTCACGAGAGATGCCGACATCATTACGAAAAGTAAGTTTGAGTTTTATTAATTGTCTTTTACAGACGGCAGTTCAACTGACGTACAAAGACACAGAGATGGTATATTGAAAAGGCGACGAGAGCTTCGCCTCACAAAGCCATCACAGGAGGTACTGGAGATCCAAAGAGCACTTGCTGTAGCCTTGGGCTATGATGAAGATCCATCTGAGCTGGAGACAAGTGATGATGAGAATGACGCACTGTATGTCATGACTTTTTTTATTTTATAAATAGCGAAACATAATTTAAATATCTACAGATCACTAGATCTCCCATCATGCCTACTCGCCTTCAAAATTATCAAGGATGAGATGTTGGTGCTAATTGGAGAACCCTGCACATTTATGGAGAGTCTCCTCCTTCAGTATGTCAAAAGCTTGCCAGATGATGTGCATGGCAAGGGCGACACCTCAATCATTCAAAATGCGAAAACTGAGGTCGAACACTTACTCCACCATGCAACTCAAGTGCAGGATCAAATCATAATTTTCTGTGGAGTCTCGACTGAGTCTCGTGCTACTGAATCAGTCTCCTGGTTCTTAAGCACTACACTTGCTTATATAGACAATGTCCAGTATTTTTTGGATATTGAAGGACTCACTGAGTTGACGATTGCTCACTCAATGGGAGAGCTGATGTACCAGAAGGGTATCTGTATCTAGGGCTTACATTCATGCATTTTGTTGTCCACTTTTCAATACATCCATGTACTGTTTCTACTAGCACGAATATCACATGATTGGTCACATGCCTGATGCTTCATTTGGTGAGCCCACTTTCTTTGAAGCTCTAGTATCACAAATGTCATCATACTATCAGCCATTGGGATATATCCCTGCAACTTCCAGCTCCTTGTTGCATCAGCATGTCATTTAGTACTGTCTTTCAGTTTACAATCTCTTAGTCATGTTAGCTGGAGGTCGCCCATCCAAACACCCAAAACTTATCCACCATATCCATAGCAAAACTGTTGACCAGGTCAACACCAGACATTGCAACTTCAGCCTGCAGGCAAATGGAAATTTCAGTCTCCGGACATCATACCTGTCTGCTTCCAGACCTGCAATAGAAGAGGAGCAAGCGCTATCTCAACAAGATATTGGTGTGGACTCAGACCCTTGGAATGAGACTCAGTTCAGCCAGGAAATAGAAGATCTGCAGTCTCATTTGGATGGGCCAACTCAAGCACGGCGCCGGAGAACACCAGGGGTGAGTCTCTATGTTGTTTTTTTGTATTACTCTTTTGATTATCTTTTAGGATGATCCCATCGCCCTTTGGCTGCCTGAACGTGAGATATACTTAGACAAACTCATTTGTCTTGAAGGGTGAGGCAAAAGTGCCAGTGAACCATGCTCGTGCAGGGAATTTTCGCCGTCTTTCAGATGTCAAGACTGTTTGTACCCTCTGCTATCTTGTCACGCATGCCTCTTGCAGTCGCACCTCAGAATGCCATTCCATAGAATCAAGGTGGAGTAATTATCATTCGTAATGTATCTGTATTTAATTTTGTTGTGCTTTAGGAATGGTGGGATGGTTTTTTCCATGCCGTGACCCTCAAATCTTTAGGGCTACATATTCAACTTGGTCACAATGCAGGAGAAACTTGCCGTCATCTGAGCCCTGCCTTTCATGACAACTTCATTGTTATTGACACTCACAGGAATCCATGAAGTCAGCCTAGACTTCTGTGGTTGAAAACATGAGGCTTCTCACTATAAACAGTTGCTTCAGGCACATCTATTCCCTGCAACAGCCACTGACCCTAGAACCGCTGCAACATTTGCGGTCTTGAAGTTCTTTCACCTACTTTCTTTCAAGTCGAAAGTATCAGCATATGAGTTCTATCATAGTCTGGCGCGCCAGAGCGACAATACCGGAATCACACCAATACGTGTGTGTCATATTGTCCATGTTGTTATGCAGCTAGGCTCATACTTTTCTCTAGGATCGCTACTCAACATTTCTTAGGATCGTGCATGAGTGGAGAAACCTTCATTCCTTGAAATGCGCTGGCCGTGGCCATGATCCAGCTGGTGTCAATGCAACTCAGGAAGGAGAACTCACTCTTCTGTGCCCAGCATGCCCACACCCTGGAAAAAATTTACCTGATGGGTGGGAAGCTTCAAATCAACAGTGCATTTTTCTATTGTCGGTGGTAGGATTGATGCTAACATATTTCAGGTGGATGTATAGTGTATCTCTTGCAATCGATGCAAATTTCCATCTCAAGCACCAAGCCATCTCCTCCAACACCAAAGATCCAGGTCTCAGCAGTGGCTGGGGCTATTTCATCAATGAGAATCATTACAAGGCCTACATAGCTAACAGTTCCGCCATCACACAAGAGGTTTGTGCTATTCATTATATCCATTCTCACAAACTAAAGTAGTGTCAACAGAGGAGCACTTGTGTGAGCCATAATGCTGTGAACATGGCAGATATGAAAATTTCAAAGGGACTTGCTGCTACAGGCGTCGGCACTGTTGACTGTGCCTGCCATGACATGAAGCTAGCGAATGGTGTCGGGGACTTGCAGAAAGGTGAAAGGTATGTGTACTGTATTCAGTCTGCATCTTTTGCGTACTCATGGCATTATGCTTTAGATATGTAAATATGGATTACCTCGTGTTTTCAGCTTTGTCGACATTTTTGAGCCTCAAAGTCATCAACTTCTCTTATGATATCACATGCCAATGGCACAAGAATCTTTGGGGCCGTGTCCCTTCGCTTCCTCTTCGCCTTCAACCAGATCCTGTTGGCAAGACATTCCGGTATTTTGTACCGAAGTTTCATCTCACAGCACACATCGAAGCTTGTCAAACAATGTTCTCACTTAATTGGTTACCCAGCATTGGTCAAACAGATGAAGAAGCCCCCGAGCGTGGCTGGGCAAATATCAATCATGTTGCTACGAGCACTAAGGAGATGGGCCTTGGAGCACGTCAAGACACGCTGGACGACCATTTCGGAGACTGGAATTGGAAGAAGATCACATCCCTAGGTATTTGTCTGGTCTTCGCTGCTGACATGGTTGGCTCACATCTTGTCTTCAGGTCGAGTGTTGTTACGGAAGGTCACCGAAGCCATCAGAGCGAGCAAGAGCATTGTATTGCACTGTCTGAACTTGAAGACTCTATCCGAGAGTCTGAACTTGAAGACTCTATCCGAGAGTCTGAACTTGAAGACTCTATCCGAGAGTCTGAACTTGAAGACTCTGAACTTGAAGACTCTATCCGAGAGTCTGAACTAGGTGCCTCCTTGCTCACAAAATGGAGAGAAGAGATAGAGACTTGGGAGGTTGACCATACGAAACCTAATCCTTTTGAGAGACATGTTGATAGTATGTGTTTCTTTTTACATGGATTGGCGCACTAACTCATACTCTTCTAGCTATGACACAGGCAGCTGTTCGGCTGGAGCTCACCAAACAAGATACCAAGGAGTTGGAGGATGGCACTGCTGTGTCTCTTCACTCTGAGGTATCTTGCAGTATCCTCATCAGCACCGGCATTGATCTTGAACATGCCCAGTGAGTGTCCCAAGTGGATGACATGATGAATATGCACTTATTTTATTTCTTCAGATGTCGACTACATGCAGATGCGGGATTACTCGGTCAACATCCAACTGACACTCAACGACGAGCATTTTGACCCATAGCAATGCCCTCCTCTGCCGCATAGACGCTTGGACAATGATCCAGACTTTGTACATGCAATCAGTCGCGAACCTACGCGCCAACAGGTTGATTGATTTGTCGAGTGACAACGACAATGACAGTGGCTGTCCCAAGCCAAATCCCAACTCCGGAAAGGCCAAAGACTCGCAACTCCTCCTGCCTTCTGAGATCTGTGATCACGTACCATGTGATCACAAACTCCTTGAAATAGAATGGTCTCTCTGACTCGCACAAGCTCACAATGCACTCAACGAGTGTCGCACTCACATTCGCCTTCGTCAGCAGCTAGTGCAATTCAAAAAACATCACATACACGGTCAGAATCCCAACACTCGTGCAAGGAAGACACTTGATGCTGTGGAAGAACGTCTGGTTATGAGCCATGCAAAATACTCATGTGCACGCAAGGCACTCATTGCTCTATCCAATCACCTTGACCACATTGGTTGGGAATAAAAACTACAGCCGCTCACAAGATCTCACCTCTGTCCTATAGGAGACTTTGCAGGGCAATCACAAGGCAGGACCATCATGTCCTGGATCTGGTTGATGCACGGAATCTCTAATGATGATGCTGAGAGTTTGCAAGATGGTAAGTCTGCTGTCATTTAAATATGTTCATATCTAATTGGGACTACAGCGCTTCGTGTTGAATGGTGCAAGGCCAGGGCACATCAAAACCATTGGTCCGAGGAAGTTCAACTTTTGTTGGAAGAGATGCGGCGAGTTCTTGCTTTTTCAACTGGCAGGTGCAATGGTGGGAGGACTGTATCAGTTTGCGAACACTGGCTAGGTTGGAGGAGACTGAGGGCTTAATTGCATATGTGAAGTGGCAAGCATTTATTCGACGCAGGCTGTCAGCATCATTCAGAGAGAAGTGGAAGGATGTTCCAGCATTGGTGGCCACTGGGATGGGTATCGATTTGACGGGCAACGACGAGGATAAACATCTGTGCCTTGACATCCCTCCTCAAGAAGATTTAGTACACGATGATCATTATTAATTTTGTTGATAGACTACTAATACAACTTCTTTTGTTGGTACCTGAGTTATGAACTTGACCTTTGTTTGACCCAGTGCCAAGTACCTTAGATCTACTCAGCGATTTATGGTGATTGTTGATGGGGGCAGACAAATACTTACCTCGCCTGGTGCTGCCTCCGATAGAGAAATGCTCACCGGGCACAGCCTCCAATGGATAATTGCACAGGAATTATGTATCTATGCATGGATGGCTAAACAGAAAGATGTATGGGGGTTTTTGGCTTATAAGCCAGTTAGATATATCCTTCCCCCACTAATAGGTGCGTGAGTTTACCTTGTTCAAACATGAATACCAATATTCCATATGTTCAGAGGTTCACTAGAACTGATGGCTCAAGGCTAATGAGTTAGAGGGACAGACTCAACTTGTACAGTGCATTCCATCTTTGTACAGCTTCTGGATATTAATCATCAACAGCAATGATCATTTGTTTCGACAGCCTCTCAGACTCAAGATTATTAGTGGATCACAAGCAAGACTAGGCACAGTTGATCATTTTCCGATGAGTTCAAACATCCACATTACTCGAGCAGTACGAAAATTTGTCCAAAAACAACTGTATTGATTGACTAGGTATTACACCATCAGCTATGATACCAAAGCAAAAGCAGAAGCATGACTCACTGTCAGATGTGCCGTACGGTCTGCCGGCTCAATTTCTACTTGCTAGTCCTGCTTCGCAGGTTTTAGCCAAAGATATATACTAAGGCATGCAGGTGAGTCATGTGGTTGAATCCTGGTTGCACAGAAATCTGCTTATACTCACGATATCCTTTACACAATAAAAGTAAGTGTAGCAATCTGCATCACTTTTGCAAGGGTGATGCTCGAGCCCGCATGCACTGACAGACATAGATGCTATCAAAGTAACAACAACGGCGAGGAGGGAGAAACACATTTTCTGTGATCTTGAATGATATCTCTGGGAATGGGGGAACAGTGACTGTAGAACGACAGCCAGCTTTTATACCCTGCATATGCTTTTGGGTATGATTCTTATCGATTTGGCAGAGTTGTTGTTGCTCTTAGCATAACACCAGGGATTTGGACACTCGATCATAGTCTTCTCAGCGAGGAGCGAAGACAAATAATTTATGACATGCAAATGAAGAACAAGACGTGGGGTGTGCTGATTGGTGTGAGCACACACGCTAGCATATGATGACGAAGAATCCAGAGCACCAGTCATGGTCACTGAGTGGCTATTGGAAATTGCCCATTGCAGGCCTTGGTCCATGGTCGTTGATAGTCAGAAACTGAATTCCAGATCAAGTTCAACAAAATAAGATGCTTGAAAAGTGTTCGATGAATCGGTCTAGCACTATCTACTGGATGGGTGTGCACAACTCCAAAGACACCGTGAAGAGGTTTACCATACCAAAAATGGACCTGGTACTACAGCAGTGCCAACCAGGATAAAGTGTGGGCTATGTTTCAGCAAAGTGTGAGTCTTGTGTTAAATTTTGCATACTTGTAAGACAGTTTTATATATAGCGACCAGAGCATACAACACTTGCTCTATGAAGAAAATCACTCCCGAGTTCCTTATGCTACTCCAAAAGACCGGGACCATGTGGACTTTTATCATAGTGCGCGCGCCCATCTGACCTTGGGCTTCGCTATGCAATGATCACTTGTTCCTACAGCCTCTCGAACTCAGGCTTATTAATGGACCCATGAACAAGACTAGCCTGATGGTCGGTCATTTTAAGATGAATCCAAACATCAACATTGCTCAGGCAGTATGGACATATGTCCAAATCCAACTGTAGTGATTGGTCCTGAACTAGGTATTGCACCATTGACTTGCACATCAACGTTAACCATGATACCAAAGCGAAAGCAGGAATATAACTCACTGTCGCGACATGCCGGCTCGGATGGCACTGCAAAGTTGGCTAGGACCTAAGATGCGCAGGTGAGCCATAGTTGAATCCTGGTTACACAACGACCTGCTCATACTCACGCCTACCCAATCTCTTTTACAAGCCAAGCCAGGGCAGCAATCGCTATTATGTATGCAATCTAGTTCTGCGGTCAGACATGCATCGACAAACATAGGTGCTGTTAAGGCAATAACAATGGTGAAGAAGGATAAACACCACATTTTTCATGCGAGGTTATATCCAATCTTTTGAGGAGGTTTTCTCTAAGGATGAAAAAACACTGTAGGATGATAACTAGCTTTCATACCCTGCTTTATACTTATTGTCACCGTTCCAATTGATCTGGCAGAGTTTTTATTACTGTCTGATGGCACAAATTTGATAGAACCTGCAGGAGCATATTCAGTTGATTATGGCCATCGTGTCATAATCTGCTGGCAGATCTCTCATACATGGTTTTATCATTTGAACATGATGTGACACTGCCAGGACAGCGATAGAGGTGAGGAGTTGATGCTCATTCTCGTCGTTACTTCCGATTTGTACCTGGTCGATATCTCAAATTTCTCACTCGTTACTCCCTTGTATATATGGCTGGACTTCTCTATTGACACAGTTCCATCCTAAAGCATGCATGTGGTTACAGCGAGCTGCTTAGTATACAAACCAAGTCACTGTATACTACGGCACTTGAGCTATACATGTGGCAGGTTGCTAAATAAAATAAGATAAAATGAAATGAAATAAATTGAGGAGGGAAGGGACAGACAGATGGAATACATACTTTGCAATGCTTCGAGAGAGTGGTTTGAGGTAGTACTTTGTCAAATGTGCATGGGAAATGAAAATGAAAATTCTTGACATATTTACGCTACGTCACCAGATATTTTGCATCTAAAGCTATCTCGTATTCAACAATAGACACTTTGTCAGGATAAACAAACAGCAAACAGAGATTGAGACTGGTGTCACTCGCATCAAACAACTTCACCAAGTTGGTGTGTTGCGTCGCCTACTTCGCAGGTTGCAAACACCTCTGAGTCCTCAGTGGCAGTGATGACAAGATCTCAGAGTGGGAAACACCCAAGGATTATTTTCCAAAAAATCATGATAGTCCCAAGGAAGAGTTGACATGTTCTGTTGATTTCCTGCCTCCTGGTCAACTCATCCTGCATAAAGAAACAGTCAGGCGAGCGTTGTTTGAAAAGCGGATTGACCATTGCCCAAAACAGACTTGCACAAAATAATTCCACATGGTGCCACACCAGTCAAAGTTGCCGTGCGAATTGCAAAGTGTTATTTAGATAAAGGGACCAACACGAGGTGAGTAACTAGTTGTACTAAGTAGTATGTATCAGCCATATCATGATGACTACATGCAAAGCTAATCATTATATTTGTCTTGGAATTGTACTTCATGCATGCATGATTTGTACTATGTAATGTTTGTGCGCAGGACAGCCCTGGACAGACGGACATTCATGTTTCGATTGTCAGATGCCCTCATGTGAAAGTGGTCATTAGTTTTACCTTGTTCAAACATGAATACTAATATCTCATATGTTCACAGGTTCACTAGCACTGATGGCCTGAGGCCAATGTTAGACTCGGAAGGACAGACTCAACTTGTACAGTGTGTTTCATCTTTGTACAGCTTCCAAATATTAATCATCAACAGCAATGATCATTCGTTTCGACAGCCTATCAAACTCTAGATTATTAGTGGACCACAAGCAAGACTAGGCATGGCCGATCAGGCTATAGTGTCATTATTATGGATAACCAAGTCTCATTAGAGACCACTGGTTATGCTTCCTTGTCATGGATTGCTGATGCTTGACAGATTATCCATTACCGCTCCCACAATGGATAATTTGCCAGACAGCTCAATTTGGTATGTTTCTGCTCATTCTGGCTCAATTCCTCATGTCAGGACCCCCCACAATAATACTACACCGCATTTTTGGCCACACAGCAGTGGGAATTACCCCACAACACCCAAAACATCGCCCATTTTGGTATTCTCCACAATATCAATTATTCCCACACCCTTCCCACCTCACTGCAGCTTTACCACTGCACCACAATAGGTCCCCCCATGTATCTAAGTAGTAGTTCAGTATATATATGTATCACATAATATAATAGACCACTTTTTTTGCTCATTTGTATGCCTGCTCCTCCTCCAGGGGCAATTCAACATATGGTAGGATATAAAACACTTTTGCACTTTTGCCCCTTTGGCAGGGAAGTATCCTGGAGCATTCAGAACATGTTTAGTAGTATATATGAATATATTACCATCTTTATTTGACCCCCTGAAGCGCCCTATATCAACACATACAATATATGTACAGAAAACACAAAGCATTCACTCTCTCCTGGTGGTATACCCCCTGTAAAAAGTTTTCCTGTAGGACCGGACCTTAATTGAAGCAGGGGGTTTATTTCTATGTATATTTGGGGTATATTCATCATATAGCTAGCCCAGGACACACATAGGATCTCTCTACAGGAACAAAAACATCAAACATCGCATTTTTGACATTTTTAATCTTTTTCAGTACCTTACCCTTGTATCCATGATCCAACATGTCCATATATTATTACCATAGAATATATATTGACTTGAATTACCAAGATCAGCTCAAAATAGGCCAGTGATTTGAGCTAGGCTGTATGCTGGCCATTGCTACTGATAAGGAGACTACAACTTCAAAGCATCAAAATTTAATGATCAGAAACCTGGAGCAGAACTCATATATATCAAGTACCATATATCTAAAGTTACAGACCAATCCAATAATAACTAAGTGCTGAGGGAATGACATAGATAAGAAATTGAGTGTGGGAAAATTGAAAGACCCAAAACATCGAAAATGGTCAGTTGAGAAGTAGGCTTACTATATGCTCTCAGCTGAAGACCAGAACATGTGTTTTCAAGGCACTGAGTCACATGCAAGTATGACCAATCATGCCTTGAAAACGCACCGTTCTGATGTAACAATGTTAGTTCAACGATAGAACCTTTTCACTTTCAAATGTGGTAGTAAGTCAAAACGAGAGGTTTTTTTTTTTTTTTTTTTTTTTTTGGGGGGGGGGTTTTGGTTTTTGCGTGCTGAAGGTGTTTGCAGTGTCTCTGAAGCCTATGTAGAATACTTCTGACATGCGGTTGGTGTTTGAATCACGTGACTTGCACATCCACTGTTAATTGACAAGGAAGAGGCATGAAGGTGCTGAAAGACTAATGACAAACGGAGGCAAGAGCAAACCCAAATGAGCAAAACCAAGAACCTCAAGTGTAAGGTAGATAAAGGGAGTTTTTTGCCGAGGGCACGACACAACCCATAACGAGCAAGGCTCACAACAGTTGTGTCAACGGTGAAAAGACCCCCCAAAATGAGACTGTGAGTGACTAATTGAATTATAGTGGCAGTGATTTTACAAAGGTAAAACGACAAATGATGTGCTACTGGTAACGACGAGAAAAGGCGTTCATAGAAGAATTTATCATTGCAATACGGGAATCTGAAAAGGATGAAGTTATAAAAACTGGCAAAATCAAATCAGTCTTTCTCCAATACTCGAGGAAGGCTCTAGACTTCCATCTCCCTTGCATTGCAACTACATCAGGTGGTGTTTCTCTCAAGAGCAGTTCTGTGGCTCCACCAATCCTAAAACAATGTCCCGATAACCCAGGGAGGCCAGCGATCTTCCAGATTTCATTACAGCGGTTAACGAACCAAGTCCATATCATGGGCGCCCAGCTGCCTTGATCTGTTTCGAATGCGAAGAAGGGAGCTGAATCAGGTACTGAAGCATTGGCTGAGAGGTGATGCATGATCGCTGAAACCAGATTTGAGGGGTCCTCCACCCCTGAAGCAATAAGGTTTGTGCCTTCACCATGTGTTGTCTTAGTCCACTGGTATCATCAGAACAATGTAAGGTACACCCATTGGAGTTTGACCATGTCATAAAGGCACATTTCGTGGTGCATGACGCGTAGAATCAAAGGAATTAGCAGAGTCAATTAACAACTCCCCAAGTCTGACATCAGAACATTAGAAGAAGGCCAAATTGATAATCAACAAAGGTACCTGCAGCAAGACCAAAAAGCGGTGGAAGTGACAGCAAGAACAGCCACATCAAAAGCATTGGATAAGTCAAGAAGGCGAACGAGAGTGTGCATGTGTTCTAGGGTAACTGGAGGTCTACATGGTCTCTTTGAAGATGGCAGAACCACCTTAGCAAGACCGGAAGTTGCTGTACGCAGTAGTACTCTACCATGCCAAGGTGCACCATGGAGGTTATGCCAGAAGTGGATACCGGCAAGCCAGTTGTGGATGGTCAAGCTTGCAACTTTCCTGGCCCATGATGCAATGAATGAGGCCAAGAGGTGGTCTGGTGCCGGCATGCATAACTGCTCCAGGATCCTCCTCGAGTCACAATATTGATGAAATCTAAGGAGTCCAGCTCCATAGTTCTCGTGTGTCTTGACCTCAATAGAGATCAACATAACGTCGAGGAGTTTGAGAACATCGTCGAAAGGAAGGTGTGAGAGAACTGAGGAATGGAAAGATGTAGAGTGAGAAGCGGACCAAATGCGAACACGATCGCAGTGTAAGAATGTGAGGATGAAGGGTGGAACGTGCCAAAATATTATTCTTTTTAGGTTTTTGTGGCTTCAGCAATTTGCGAACGGATGTGGGCGGTTCCCCTACCACGGGTTGTCTTACCAAAGACTCCCTAAGTAAGGCCAAATCCCCCACGACGCCTGCACGGGCTGACGTCTGGAATGGAGGTGTGCTAGACATAATCTGAAATGAAGGAGCAAAGCTCTTCTGGGAGCTCAATTGAAGGGAGGCGAAGAGCAGGTGGACTGACCTCACCGCGAGAGGTCTTGTCCACTCTGTTCTGTTCAGATTCTACATAAACAAGAGCGTGTGCCACGTTCATGGCCATTGCAATAGATTCTACCCTGCGAATGCATAAGTTGACTTGAAAATTTCTACTTCTCCCGTGTCTGAATGCGCCAATGATGCCTTGGTTGTCAGAATGGATAAGTACTGTGGTGTTGCGCCATCCTGACTTGAAAAGTGTCCTAACAGCAAGTTTGATGGCGATGGCCTCAAGCCACCCAATGTCTCTACCCTGACCTTTCCATCCTATGTGCAAAGTCCACGTGTTCCATCTTTCACCCAAGATGATTCCTATTCCCCAATCGGTCAAAGCATCCACCCATAGATCAATATCGCATGGGTCGCCCCTTGAAGTGAGTAAACGAGGAGGAGGTGGGTAATTAAGAACATCTAACCACCATTTCAAATCTGTCACTACTGATGTGTGTGGGAAGCAAGAGGCATGAATGGAGGGGTACTCAGCTATGAATGCTGAAAGGTTTGCTAGGTACACCCAGCCATGTGGTATGACAAAGGCGACGTGCGACAAGGTTCCATTAATGCTCATAGCGTCTTTGCACGAAATACGCCTTCCGCTTGCCAAAATGTCAAGCAATGCGAAAAGCTTGTCGCGGTACTTCAAATGTTTTACCTCCGGTAGTGTGACGGTGCACAGGACTAGGTCCCACAGGAATCTGAGGTAAATGAAAATGTAGGCGAAGTCAGTCCATTTGGTTGGGTGCCAATAACAGCTTCCCTCCACCCAAGGCAAAACAAAAGAACAAGTGGTCGTTGACCCACTTCTTGATTGGTCCCAATTCCATTCTGTGCAGAATGTCGATGGTTGTGTCTGCGACATTGCCTTGGACACCTCCTGCTGTAGATAATCCAAAAGGAAACATGTGATCTATAAAGTATCAGCCGTCAACCTCCACAACCAGAAAACATTTATGTGGTGGCCAGACAGGCATGGTTCAATAAGCTGCCTCTATATCAAGAGTGGCTGCTTGTGTCCCCAGAGGTACTGTGGCGACCTACAAATGTATGAATGAGGAATGGAATGGAGAATAGTGATGAAGGAGAAGACGAAGAAGAATGAATACACGTGAGACGTGCCAAAGTGAATGCACAAGATGCTCGAGAGCACGATAAGTGTGCATGCACGACTAGTACCCGAAGGTACGAGAAGCTGAGCAACTAAGACTGAACGTGGTCAGAAGAGCTCAAAAGGCCTGAAGGAGAATTGAATGAAGGACAGGGTTGAACACCCCACCCACCCCTTGCAACTAAACAGGGTGAACACGGCCAAATGGGCTGCACAAGCCCAGAATCATAGAACGTACAATTTCTGCGACATGTGCCGCTGTACCCCATTCGGTGGGGAAGTCGTCAGAATCAAGAAACCCATTGACCAAGAAACCATCTGCATTGCAATGAGATAAGTCACGAACAACCCTAAATTTTCCTCGCTCTCCTGCTTTCTCCACCACCCCAAGTGGTGATGAGGCGAAATAACCTCCCAAGATGTTGTGGACCTCATCTTCCAAGAATGGGCCTGACATGGGACCAAGAGAAACTTCGTCGTTACAATAAGCGCGAATGACGTCAAGATGATCTAAAGCAGATTTATGATTTTTTGGTGTATAAGTGTGGGTGAGTGGCAGAATGTCCCCAATGGGAAACCCATGGCACATATTGAATGTCAAGGTCGGATAAACATGTTGCAAGTTATATTGGTGCAAGAGATTGTTGTACGCATCGGCATCATACGGTGTGGTGATACGCTCATGGATATCAGAGGCAAGACTTCGAAGCAGCTCCATGATTCCTGTCTCCGCAGATAGAACAGAGGTGAATGACATCAGCTGAGTGTTTGGGGGCGAAGCAATGTCCAAGATTGAAAGAAATGCAGATGGGACTGGAGGAGGATTTTTGAACGAGTTTCCCTTGCCAGGAGCGAATGACAGGGACGTCTTTTGTTGTGTGTGTGTGGGTGCATCCACTGGCTCTATGTCCGTACCCACCACAGATGATGCAAAGGGTCATGTCGGATACTTGCAGCCCTTTGTCCTTCCGAAAGGGCTTCCCATCGTTCGAAAAACCGACGGATGATTGGCCTTCGGCTTTTCACTGAGGGTAGGGGTTGAAACGAGAACTACTCCCTGAAGTGTGCGCATTATTTGACGAAAGTGAGGTGTTAATCTTTATTTCGTTCCAACACTGCATATATGCGCTCGGATCATGAAAAGATTGAGCATTGAAGAACTTCCTGCAAATTTCTATATCGAAGTTTAGGACTGCATTCCAGTCGTCGCTAAACTTGTCGCATGACAAGCAGAAGTCACGATGTTCTATGAAACACTTTATAGTTGCCTCGTCAGCAACCAGAGTCATCATTTTGAGGAAATTATTATAAGCTTCGTAGAAGCGATCAGCTGGAAGTGCCAATTCTGCTGGGAATGTTGAAGTGTCCATAACGCCCATCTTGGGATCATCTAAAACAAGACCTTTCTTCATCTTGATGCAAGAAGGGTCCAGGTGTATCTTCCGGAGTGATGCGAGTGTAAGAAGCATGAGAGGAACGTGGATCTGTGCCTTCGCAAGGTTGATGATAGGCCTCGGGATTTCCATTCCTGTGTCTTCTGTTTGTGTAATTACAGTATCAGAGTCCTTGAACACTATAGTATCTGAAGCAGACGAAGATGTAGGTACAGAAGGTGTTGTAACACTAGAAGATGTATCTGTGTTTGAAAGGGCACCAACAACTCTTTTCGCTGTATTCGGGATTAAGGAATTAAGGAAACTAAAGGCTCTAGTAATTTTGTTCCCCGGGAAGGGTTTAGGTAAGGGTGTGAAAGGTTGTGGGGAAGGTTCATCAAGTAAAGACTCGTCGTCAGAGATTTCTTCAATAAAGTTAGGGTCGTTGCACTTGGCTTCTCTAACAATGTTGTTACAATAACATTTACTCCTATTTCATTTTTCCTTTGTAACCATGCCTGCTGACTCTAGACTCGGCTATTCTCTTATCAAGCGGGCTGTCCGCACTCCTCTTCTTTCTGATTGTAACATAGATACTATCTTGGACTGCATGGCGGTTTCACCTATCTTTGCTATCTTGATAGGTTGTACTCTTTTTCCTATCTTTGTTACCTTTCCTGTCGCGGCTGCGCTGCTTCCTTTTACCTATATAAACCCCATGTACCATAGATGTATTCCTTAACTTAATCTACTGGGTTTTCCCCTTGAAACCTGATCTACAAGGTCTCCACCCTTGTAGCCTGATACCTGATTCTAAGACAGTCACTCACTGTCTTAGCCTGAACCCTTGACTGCAGTAGAAGTGCTAAAACCACTCGCCACTGATCCTGCACAGAAGCCGCGGCTCGTGCAGCGTGAACCCTTTGAACCAGAAACCTTCCTTGTACTAGGAAGGCCGACGAACTGTCGACTGAGCGATCTATCTTTGATCCTCGACAGCAGAACTATCCCAGTCGTAACAAATGTTCCTTTCAGAATGTGCTGAGTTTTCTACCGCAACTGCTTCTTGATCCTCGAGATCAACAGCAACAACCAAATGTCTTCCTACAGAATCAACAACTCAATTGATCTCACCATCCGACAAAACTCGGTTGTTTGCGGAGTTAAAAGCCTCGGTGCTTTTACTGCCAGCCCCTCTCGGTGGTCCAGGGTTTGAGGTGTCAGTCATAGTGAGGATGAAAATACGAGGGTATGAATAGATGTATGCGCTAAACCCTCAATTGAGAAAAAGGGCAAAATGGTAAAGATGATAGTAAGAAAGCAAGGAATGCACAATCCATGTGCCGTATGTTTAATATGCACAATAATGCTTAGTAATTCCAGCGTACCATGCGCTATACTGTATCTTGACGCGTGAATTACTTGAAAGAACGCATGTTCCATGTGTTGCACTATGTCTTGATGTGCGAATTGCTTAGTAAGCCTCTGTTCGTGCTTCTCAGTCGCATGGCTCCTTTGAAGCTCGAACTGCACTCAGACTTTAATCCTAGATCAACTCATGTTTACACTACATCCCTTCCACCCATTCTCTACCCTCAGGGCAATATGTAGTATAGGTTCCTTAGGTAGTTTACTATCATTCCTACATAATTTTCAGGAAATCTTCGACCTGTATGAGCTATAAATGTAACTTTGTGTCAAAAATGACAATTATCACTTTTCACTCATATGGTCTTTTGCCTATCATGCAGTCAATCTTTCATGGATCATTCTAAAATTTTAATCATATCATGAGGGACATATATTAGAGGTATCCCTGATCTCTAATTCACTTATCACAGGCTTTGCTATCATATAGGCATCTAATCAATAGAAAGCCCCCTTTACATTATATGTCACCTTTCTACCATATATCTAGCTGATCCTTAACATGAAACACATATTTGGATGTACTACTGATTATATATGAACATGGCTGACCAGATGTGCAAGGGTAAGATACTGAAAAAGATCAAAAATGTCAAAAATGTGATGTTTGATGTTTTTGTTCCTGTAGAGAGATCCTATGTGTGTCCTGGGCTAGCTATATGATGAATATACCCCAAATATACATAGAAATAAACTCCCTGCTTCAATTAAGGTCCGGTCCTACAGGAAAAAAATTTACAGGGGGTATACCACCAGGAGAGAGTGAATGCTTTGTGTTTTCTGTACATATATTGTATGTGTTGATATAGGGCGCTTCAGGGGGTCAAATAAAGATGGTAATATATTCATATATACTACTAAACATGTTCTGAATGCTCCAGGATACTTCCCTGCCAAAGGGGCAAAAGTGCAAAAGTGTTTTATATCCTACCATATGTTGAATTGCCCCTGGAGGAGGAGCAGGCATACAAATGAGCAAAAAAAGTGGTCTATTATATTATGTGATACATATATATACTGAACTACTACTTAGATACATGGGGGGACCTATTGTGGTGCAGTGGTAAAGCTGCAGTGAGGTGGGAAGGGTGTGGGAATAATTGATATTGTGGAGAATACCAAAATGGGCGATGTTTTGGGTGTTGTGGGGTAATTCCCACGCTGTGTGGCCAAAAATGCGGTGTAGTATTATTGTGGGGGGTCCTGACATGAGGAATTGAGCCAGAATGAGCAGAAACATACCAAATTGAGCTGTCTGGCAAATTATCCATTGTGGGAGTGGTAATGGATAATCTGTCAAGCATCAGCAATCCATGACAAGGAAGCATAACCAGTGGTCTCTAATGAGACTTGGTTATCCGTAATACTGCCAGGAGCAGGTGGGCCAATCATTTTCAGATAAGTTCAAACATCTGCATTACTCAAGCAGTACAAAAATGTGTCCAAAACAACTGTATTGATTAACTAGGTATTACAGCATCAGCCATGACACCAAAGCAAACACAAAAGCATGACTCACTGTCGGATGTGCCATTCGGGCTACCAGCTCAATTTTTACTTGCCAGGATCTTTATATTGGCAGAGCTTCAATGGAAAGTTATAACCCTAAGGCATGCAGGTGAGTTCTATGGTTGAATCTTGGTCACACAGCAACCTGCTTATACTCACCTCCTTCGGTTGACAACTAAACATCTCACAACATTCTGCATCTGCATAGCAAATTTCTCCAGTGCTTTTGCATGCACTGACAGACATAGATGCTATCGAAGTAACAACAACAGCAAGGAGGGAGAAACGCATTGTGTGTGATCTCGAATGATATCTTTGAGGATGGGGGAATAGTGACTGTAGAATGACAGCAAGCTTTTATACCCTGCTTACTATACTTTTGGGTACGACTCTGATCGATTTGGCAGAATTATTGTTGCTATCTGCATAACGCCAAGGATTTGGATACTCTTGGCCACAGTCTGCGGCAGATCTTCTCCGCGAGGAGCGAAGGCCAAGAATTTTACGACATGCAAGTGCAGAACGAGACGTGGGGTGCGCTGATTGATGGGATCGGAGCAGTACAATCGTTGTTTGTGGATAATTTGACGTCACTGGTCTTGTGCATGCTATGGACAAGGGATAGGTACTATTGCTTTCATCAGGAAAAACCACGCTGCCTACGCGAGCCTATATGGTATTCGTAGGTTGGGTAGCCTGTTAGGTAGGTCCCGGAGATGTACGTAGTTGTGTAAGTTCGCTGATGACTCATTGCACCTCATACAACACTTGCTATATGAAGAGAATCACTCCCGAGTTCCCTACGCTACTCGAAGAGACCAGGCCCAAAGCTTTTCACTTTTATCATAAAGTGCGCCCCCGTCTGACCTTGGGCTTCGAATATGTAACGATCACTCGTTCCGACGGCCTCTCGAACTCAAACTTATTATGTATTTCTTAAACAATCATCGACCAGGCGGCAAGTTCACACATATCATGCAGCGACGTCCAGTGTTGTAGAGGTTCCTGCAAGGGCTAAATAGATGGACCTGATTCATTGATCACTTACAGCGCAACGTTGCAGCGGGTGATCCTGGCCTTGTGTCAAAGACTTGGCACTTGATGGCAGCACCCCAGTCACAATCGCACTTTTTCTTCTGAGAACATGGAAATAGCCTGTCGTGTTATTGTTTCTAGATTGTCTCGTAGGGGGATTCCAGTTTTGATTAGCGTCCCCGTTCGTAATATCCACGCGCAGTCGACGCCCAAAGTGTGTAACTTGTACGTGGAATACGCAGCGTATCATCAACAAAACCAAGGGATGCACCTAAATGTTCAATCTATGTATTCAAGATCGCGTTTTATGCCTCCACAAGGTCTAATCACGCATGAAGATTCCATTGAACTTGCGAACGCTCAGCGCTGGCACAACGAAAACTCTGAGTTGTGCATCATAGGGACAAGATAAATAGATAGGTTCAAGATGCACCACCATACGTCGAAGCTGAAGTATGAATCCTCTCATGAAATTATATAGGGCCGGCATAGTAACTGAGAACTAATTCTAAACAAATACATTCTTAGGCTTCAGCCGTGGACTGGAACCTGAACGCAGGATGAATCGCGGTACACGCATCTCGGACAAAAAAGATTTACCCTGAAAGGGCGAACTCACTCGTCAGCGGAGGCACTTTAGCCGACGAGGGGCTGTCACTGTTCACAACGAATGAGACTGGTGACTCATACAGATGAAGATGAAGAAAAGAAAAACCTTTCAAAATCGACCGAAGGACGGATGAGCGAGAGGACCACTTGGCTAGATGCAATCGTGCTGCAAATGAAAGTAGGTCATGCGTCCAAAGCTGAAGCCATAACGAGTCCTGACCAGATGCATGCGGCTTTCAACAGGTCAGCCACATAAACTCGGTCAAACCATGGGCACATACCAGGCGTTGAGAAAACAGCATCCATGATAGCTGACGATACAGAGTGAGTAGGTGTTTGCCAATGCAGTGAAACAGTCTTACGATTCAGGCTTAAACGATTCAGGGTCTACAAATTTTAGTCTGCGACAACGCTTTGGAGCAACAAGAAACATACCAGTAGTGTAAGGTTTGCTATTAAATTGAGGATGAAATATATCACCCCTTGTTTCACAAGTGTCTTCCATAGCGTAGAAGATGATGGCATCCTCAAAAGTCCAATAACGGTAAGAACCAAAAGGGCCAAACCATACAACATGCCTACACCCGAGATAGTGATTATGACGTATACATTGATCATCAACGCGACATGCGTACCATATATGACCACTGCACTAGTATATGCGCGTTTGACAAAACTGATTATACACACCCCATTGCTGGTGGATGCATGAGTGGTTGCAAGGACTAGAAAATAATTGGATAAGGAACACCAGAGGGCAGCAAATACGTACAGAGAGTGAGCATTGTCCAATGACCTAGTGAGAATAGCACTAACAAGAGGCGCAGCAAGTAACTAGTTTTCCAGATGATCCATCTATATGTATATACCATGAGATCGAGTATGATATGGGAGATCAATGAAAGGCTTACGTCCTGATCATCAGATTTGTTGTGGAGAAACCGATGGCGGCGTTTTTCGCAAACTAGGCATTATGACGGTAAATCAGCAACCTCGCGGGTGCTCCCGTGCTCACTATGGTGATGGAATTCATGCCTGAATCGAGGTAAACCTCCTCGACAAAGATCAACACATTCAAAACACTCACTCTGACAATTAACGCTTGTGCGAAAGGGACTAAATTGCGCCGCACTGACAAAGGCCGTTAGTATGCTTGTCACTTTCTGCATGTCGACTCACAGTAAGACTGTCGCGATCAGGAAGCTGAATCTGGCTGCAGTGTACGAGAACTGGGCATTTGTAAGTGGCAAGCGTTCACCGCATCTTCGAGAATGCGCACTAAAGGCCATCGAAATGGAAGTTGCCTCCGAAGCAGTGCTATCTCCACATGTGAAGAGCGTATATATTCCCAGCTACAGACACAAACGCAAGCTAGTTGATACCATATTTGAGGCATTGCAGCGTGCAACACTCACCTATATAAGCCGAGGATGGCATACAACGACTGTATTGAAAGTACCACCAATTTCGCTTCGAGGTCAGGATCGTTCCAGTCCACCATAGCGAGAATTGGGTAGATATGGTAGATATGTGTTGAGGGCGTCGGGGGAATGACAGCCTGTTCATTAGAAAATCTTCGGTTTAATTAGGACAAAATGTGGAGTACTAGGTACATACATACAAGTCTCCCACATCAACATTTTCAACCCTGTGGAGTTGCTGTGGAGTACTTATTTGTTAATCGTGTGATAGAAGCACTCAAAATTCATGATGTCTTCACACTTGCAACATTAGACCACCACAATAAATGTTTGTCAGTTGAAGGTCAAAGATGAATGAATGGTCACACCTCCGTAAGAGCCAGAGAATGTACATTCGTAGAAGTAGTGCAGAGCATCTTGGTGGCTTGAGCGTGAGAAGCAGGGTCGACGCAGAAAATTATGACGAGTTTGTTACAAAATGCAAGGGTCACCAAAGTATTCCAGGACCCTCTTCTAGGGTCTTGGTGCAACGATTTTCTCACAATGGCAGACCAACGGGTACCCGCTGAAGCCTGAGTCCCGCTCTACTATGAGGCAACCTCCCGCAGAAATTTCCCGCGCCTAGGGGGCATGCTAATTTCTGAGGTGGCAACAGACGAGTATTGCCGAACATCTTGGGTATCCCACAGACGAGCCTCGGAGTATATACGACTTTTAGATTTTGAAAAATCGTTGTCGTCTTCTGAGGGCCACTACTGCAAGTGTCACTGCAGAACCAATCATCAGGCTGATCACAAACCTGGAAAGAGAAGCGAGAATAGAAAACTGGTACATGCGGATTATGGCCCATTTCAAGTTTGGAGACGTGTAACATCAAATCTGTGGGACGCGCATGCATACTAGTCGTGTGGAACATTCCGTAGAGTGGTTGAAGCTCGTTGCAATGTGGACAAGAATGGCTTGCTTTCGTTCAAAGTTAGGAAGCTCGTCATTGGACATTCCCAAAAGATGGATATCATTGGGATCCTCACAACACAGTGGAATGGCCAAGGAGGGAGTTGGCAGGTAGCCCAGCAAATTAAAGACGAAAATCAATCGTAGGAAATCTCGGACAAGTCCGATCATCGATCTAGGCTACGCTCACATAAGCTCGCAGCCACCAGCCATGGCTCAACCAAGTAGTACAGGGGTACGAATTCACTTCGAGCTAAACAAAACAGACGAGTCTGATGATAATAACTGGTGAAACGATATTTTTTTGGGGGAACGATAACGAAAATGACAGTTCAGAACGACCCTGCCCTGGTACCTACCGTGACCGTTTACGTCGCGGTCACGTGAACCTCAGTCTAGCACGGTGACCCTTTCTACATAGCTTAGCCTTCGATCATAGCTTCGACTTCAAGTCGTGCTCTATACGAGTCGAGCACGAGGGGACGTGAAGCCACCTCAGCAGGCGACTGCGACCGTCAGAACTTCTGGGTTGCGTAGAACCAGGCATGACCCTACAAATGAGAGTCGGGTCTGCGAATGGCGAACGCCAAAACGCGGTGCAGGAAGAAGCCATGTGGATATCAAATATTAGCGTAAGCATCGTCCGCATTTTATTCGATGTCTGTGCTTTCTTTGTCCTCAAAAGCATGTTACTAGATCTTGATCTTAAATGGGACAAGCTTCAACGGCATAGTACTGGTCTGAATCCCAACATGCTGTAGCGGGCATGACTCGGACTATCCTATAAGACTCGTTCTTTGATCAGCGCCATCGTGCAGCTAGCTCACTTACCGCCTATGATGCATCGCACATCGAGCTTGGATAACTTGGTCAACGATATTCTCATTAAAATCTTCCAGACCTTGTCTGTGCAAGAAATACTGACACTGAGACGGGTGAGTCCATCGCACTTTTTTCATTTGGAAACTTCACGCACATTCCACCTTTACTCAGACCTCCAAACGTTATTATTCACTGTCTAAACTTCGCAGCGTATGGTATGCGGCATTCTGCACTGAAGTATTGGCCCGCCACCTTCCGCCCCCTGGCCCTTCGTGCTCTCTCCGTGCACTGCATTCCGCAGACCTGGAGCATCGCACATTACTAGCTCTTTCCCTCCAGAAACGTTGGCCACGATGTACGCCTGATGTTATTGTTTCGAGCAAAAAACGAGAGACGGTCGACCAGATCCTGCTTATCCCTGGTGGAACGCAAGTCTTGACCGTCCATGGAAATAAAGTGATATACTGGCTCATCTCTGGGCAGACAGGTGCCACACGCAAGCTTCAAAGGCTTGGAGAGTGGTCGTCACCGAGTGATGATACTTGCATGGTCGTGAAGGACAAGGAGGGACAGGGGATCATTGCCATCGGTTGCAGAGATCAGTGAGTCCCTTCTGAAACGAAAACGAAAGGGTCGTTGACAGTGGATAGACCAAATAAACATGCCGCTGTATTTTCTCTCGCTTTGGAGCCTGCGCTCAGAAAATTATGCGACTACTCTGTCGTCCCTGGCATCGTCGCAGGGATATCGCGACACCTCCTTTTTCTAGATACCACTTCAGAGAAGGACGGTGGCGGTCTTGAGCTCCTAGATTGGCATGCTCAGACGGAAGGCACTGCCCTACTCCCACGTATACCCGATTTGGTAAGTAAGCCAAGTGCGACTTCAAATAACAGACCCGTGAGATTGTGTGGTAGTTTGGTCCATTTCTAGGCTTCGTCCATTTCTCCGAACATATACTTGTGGCATGGGAGACGTGCATCAGCGTGTTTCCGGTGCCTGAGGTTCCAGCCCAGGGACGAATGGTAGTCGCCCATACTAGAGTGTTCATGTTTTCCGAGCCCATCGGCTTACCTGTGGCCTTCACAACTTGTGTTTCTCGAGGTTGGACTGGCACAGATGCTCCTGCGTACCGACCATCGCAGGAAACGCCTTCGCTCACGATCGTTGCGCGTCCAAAGGGCAAGTTGGGGAGGATTGCTATGTCGATGCTTATTCCGGTAGACAACGATGACGGTGCAAAACATGTGACGAGCTTCGGATATCAGCTTCTCCGACTATCGCCATTTGTTCCTGGGGTGCTTGGAGATATAGACAGGGGTTCAAGGGGGCAAGCATGCAGGCAGATATGCATAGGATCGTCTGGGCGCGGGCTATGCGTCTTTGGACGGGAAGTGCGACTGTGCGAGCCCAGTCTGTTGTATATCCTCCCGTGCGAGATGCAGTTTGGACCTGTGTTCGAGACGGGGAAGGCGATATATGAGATTGAAGATGGAGACAATGTAGATTTTGACGAGGGAATGGGACGGTTAGTAGTTGCAAAGGGAAGTGGGGGGTTTGACGTTGTCCAACTAGTGTAGCCGAACGTGCGACGTGCACGATTCCTCGTGATGTATGAGCCATCCCCAACGTCCGATTTCATACGAAAGATTAAATTGGACAAGATTGCGAATAAGGCAAGGGGATGGGATGTCAAGAAGAGAACTCGCTAAAATTTCGCAGCACAGGAACGGATTGCGTGCAAAGAGGATGGTTCTCACTGGGTTGCTGGTTCTCATAGGAGATCTAGATATGTCATGTGCGTATAGTGAAACGAATCGGATCTATGGAGTGACAAGGGTGGTACAAAGAACACGATTAATTTATGTGGGTGTGCCGCGATGCCGACACTCGAGCCCTCCATTAGTGTTTGAAGCGATCTTCTTTCCATTTTTAGATGCTAACGCTGACCTTCTATCTTCCTGCCAGTAGCTTCCCCTACTATCTTCATATTGTTAGTGACTCCAACTACAAGTTCGAATCACTATTTTTGGTCATGGAAACTCATCGTGATTGGTCTCGGTCAAAACATCCGAGGTAATCTTACTGCAAGATCCGTGGCGACATGTCGGGATTCGCCGACGATGTCCTCGAAGTCTTCTGAGATGTGCAACGGATTAAGGAAAGCATCGAAGGATGTCTCAGGGACAGTGGCAAGAAGGAAAACCATGTTACCTCACAGGGCTGGTCCAAAGCATGTGGGAGTCGATATAGCCTTATCGTCGACTGTAACCACATGTTATCTGGGACTTGGGACGAAGTTACGTGTGCTGTGCCACGAAAACAAGATTAAGTTGTCACACAGACCGAGAAAGGTGAAAGACATGAACTATCATTCTCATGACCGGAACAAGTATTTCGAGGTTCTGGACTCAATGTCGCAATGGCATTCGGCGCCCTTAACCCCGCGTCGAATCGTGAGAGGAGCATAGAGGATATCTATTGGGCAAGCTAATGACGCTTCTGAGAACGCAAAACGTAAAAGTTAAAGAATACTTAATCGCTATTATTCACTTCAGAGCGCGATTCAGAGAACTATGTACCAAAGGCGATAAGACCATACGCGGGATACTCCGATGTCTCCACACAGAACGCGATAGCGACGTGGAGTAACGTGGGGCGCGAGACTCGTGATCAACCTGGGATAATCAAATAACGCTGTACAGTCGTACATTAGCGAACCTGGGAGCGGCGACCAACCTGACTTTGACCTGCCTGACTTGGCCAACTTGTGCATATGCATGCAACGTTGCAGATCGGCAGAACCTGATCTCAAAAGATGGATGAAACTGCGTCTGAATCGGGAATCAGAAACCACTATCAATTGCAAAGTGTCGATAAAGAATTATTCTTACCATATGCTGGCCTATCGCGTAATAGACTGCGGCAGGACACTCGAGTCTAAGTTTGCACGTGCATGTATTACCCAACAAGTGGGTCCAAGTTGTCTACAGTCCACTAGCACCCAGGGTCACCGTCCCTTGAAACAGTCTCAGCCTAGAAATTTTTTAGGGCTCGTCACCAATCCTCACACACCAATATCAGTTGCCCAACAAACCCAATATCCATAAAATTATGATGACTAGACAGAGTAAAGGACCTCCCAGGCTAAGTATAAGCTCCCCACCCGTATTAAAAATCCAATCTTCACCTGAAGCGCTGGGCCGACGGTGGGGACAAATCAAAACCAACAAAAAAAAAAAAAGAAACCACGGGGAATGAAAGAGATGCCCTGGTATGAATATAGGTATGCGATGTGTCTATATGCGATGCAATAACGTGATGAGGATGGTCGATGAGAGGGTGTGCCGCGTTATGGTGGTAATGCAAGATCTACAATAGTTCCCAGCAGAGGAAGATATAAAAGGAAAGTCTAGGCTGGCCACTTAGGCCGAGAATTTTGGTTTCTGTTTCCAGAATGAGACGAATGGAGTGGGACAACTTGGAGACGGGTACTTACAGTTTTCCGCATCATCAAGGGCGGAGATGAATTCGGCGAATTTGGGTTATGATGGGGCTAGAATGGCAGCAATCAGGACAAATCACCTCAAATGGTCAGTCTGATATCACATACCGGGTTCATGTATGTAGGGATAGGTGGAGGAGCCTGCGAGTGTGATGCCGCAGTCTTGGACAGGACATTTTTGAGCTGTGAGAGAAGAAAAACGCGTTGAATGTCGAGTGGCGAGTGAGGAGAAGCGAACAAAGTACCTTTGCTTCGCTTTCAGCTGCCCGCTGCGCGTACATGTTTGGGTGTAGCGATACGCTGTCCATGCTTTTGGCTTGAGGTAATGAAGAGAGACCGCATGACAAGCTTGGGAGAGCGACGAGTTTCTCTGCACGAGAGTTGGATTGTTGAAGTGTTGTCATCGTGAAAGACAAAGCAAGCCAGTACTAAGCTAAAAGATGAAAGGCGAGACTGAAAGCCCGGAGGATGATGATGAGGAATATATGATGGATTTGAGGTTGAACTTATATAAAGTAACGCGTTAAGAGCCGGATTCATTTCCCGCGGGATGCCGCAGTCACTCGGTCACATCTCGAGGTTACTCTCATAAATTGTTCTCATAGGGATGTGCAGGTACTAGATCTGCTTACGGTGTGGACGACCCTTATTTTCGGTCCTATTTCGTGCGCGGACATGGAAGAAACTCGACTGGTACATAAACATCCCTTTACGAACGATAAGCTTACTCTCACCATACCTTTTTAGCTAAGCTTCGAATGCCTGCAGGCGCATCTTACCCATGTCTCCCGTCAAAAAGCTTCGCGTAAATTTTGGGGGTCCTATCTATGTCAGTCGATGGCTAGCCTTGTCCTCACTCTTTTCGAATACACAATTCACTCGTCTCCTATTGCGCGGTCTCCTAGGAAATACCAAGTTCTTTTTTTTCCCCGTTCCTCAGGAATCAGCGAATCAGCATGTTTTTCATTTTCTCAACTGCCACGAATTACAATCGAGTTCTTACAACAAGATCCTGTGCTTTATTAACCCGAACTTCATCGTCTTCCCAACACTCAATTGATGTGAGTTCAAGAATAACTTTTCAATGTGAAAAAGCCACGAGTTCACTTATCGTATAGCAAAGTTTCGCCACTATGCGGCTGGAGCGAATCCACACTATTCGCCCATTTGCATATGGCACCAATCGGCCATGTCCGTTCTTCATTTTCTTCTTCTGGCCACTCGCACAAGCGCTCCGTTATATTTTCCCATGCCCTCATTTTCACAAACAATGCAACGGAGCCGGCCGTTTGGCGCAACTTCACAGATTGGCACTAATAGCGACATGTCGTCATCACAGGGTCATTGCTGGAAGCTCCGATCGTTCCTTTATACTTAATGAACAGAAGGGCTAGACCCAACCGACCTACTCACGATCTTGGCGAAACTTTTGGACCTCCCCCCCTCCCCCTCTCATTGATTGCCGCCTATCAGATATCACGATGTCACTTGACTTCTGTCAGATCTATTGACAAGTCTTTTTTGTCGTCGTTCACACGATTCCGACGGTGTTGTAGGTCCTGCGAGTCCAATGGAATTGCGGACGTCTCCCAGGTGACAAGGTGCGAGATCAACGCGAAAAGTCGCGTCACGGCTCCGAACGTGTGGGTGTGAGATTCTCGACTCGTCTCCTCTGGTAAAAGCAAAGGTCGATGTTATTGTTGGTTCCACAGTCGAAACCACTTTTCTTTATCACCAATCTCTGCAGGGATGTCAAACTCGTGTTCGACTTTACGGCAGCTAATTGCACGTGAATGGATTTCATCGATGCATGTGTAACTGGGCATTCATCAGATACCGTATTTCTCCCGAATATGACGAAGCACGCCACACCCGCTCTCACAACGTTCATATAAACGAATTCTTTCCAGGAAATTAAGATCGTAATGTTCATTTCCCTTCCTCCTGAAAGAACTCTCGCCGTTTGAGATTACAAGATACAAAATCCTCGTATCTTACACCGCGCATCACATGGAAACGCTTCACGGAGTCGGAGCGTCGTATTCTGAGATTCGAACGTTCACCTATAACGCATGCACGCGTGATATCAGCTACTTATCAGTAGGACATCCTCTATATTCACTTCTCCTCGGACTATTTTCACCCATCACCACACCCCGTTGATGACGCTGATGAACGTAATACATAGTTACACATCAATTTCAGGTCATCCCAATTTAGTCGACGGCCTGTACGCCATCGTATACAGGCAGGCGCTTGCAAGCAGCTGGCCAATCAATGGTGCCCTGCACCAGCTCAGTGACAACTGCAATCACGTCGTCGATGGGGCCAATGAGTTGGTCTGTTGTATCACGCTCACTACATAAAGAAGGCAAAGTTAGTCAAACCTGTCACCAGAAAGAAGCGGTCCATCGGCCGCGGACCGCCACAGACGTACCGGAGAGTCATCGTCCGGTTCTGGACAGCTGTTTGTGGTCGAATTAGAGTTTGCAGGGTCAACGGAGGTCGTGAAAAAAAAAATGCTCACAGGCAAAGTCGAGTGTAACACCAAATGGTGTCCCCAATTCGTCATTGCGGGCGTAGCGTTTGCCAATCGAGGTATTAGAATCATCTACACGAGAAAAGATGCCAGCTTTCCGTAATTTGGTTGCTGGGGGCCGCAGTTAGCATTGTGGGTGCCTTTGCAGATAACATGATTTGACCCACAAACTTCCTGGACGAGGGGATTGAATTCTTCCTTGGCACTTAGAGGGACGATGAGAACTTTCGTGGGAGCGACGACAGGAGGGAGTGACAGGACCTTCGGGCATCCTGGAGTCAGCCCCGGGCTACTTAATTAAAATATTGACAGATATACTTACCCCACGTTCTATATCTTGCTCTCTGCACCAAAAACTATGTTCAAGCAAGGTATAAAGGATGCGGCCGAAGCCGAATGACGGCTCGATGACATTTGGTATGAATTCGCGAACTGCAAGCAATCGCAAAAGGTTAAATCGGGCGAACCCATGGCACAATAGGCAAGCGTACTCGATTGCTTAAACGTCTTGCGTTCGATCGCCAGCAGATCGGGGGTGATGATGAACTCCTTCCCTTCGGCAGAAATTGTCGCTTGGCTGTACAAAGAACCCAGGTGAATCTATGAAGGTGAGGATAGAAGATGATACAGACCCTTGGGCAAGTTGACCCTTGATCTTGGTAAGCTGGGATTCATCCATTTCACCGACGACCTTTTGCAGGAGGCCAGCATCGCGCCCGTAAGTCTTGCCAAGGACTTTTTTGTTGAATTCTGGTACCTCCCTTTCGGTCACTATCGGCTCCTTCAGCGCTTGTCTGACAACAAGAGGCTGACCAGTCCTTGCCGAGTGCACCGATAGGTCATATGCAGCCCGGTCCGCACAACCAACGCACTCAGTCCACCCTGTCGCGTTCTCTATCTCTGCATCCCAACAATCTGCAGCATAGTGTGCCATCTCGTTCCCCATGTGCTGTCGGAACCGCAGGCGTTTTGGGTTGATACCGATCTTGATAAGGAAAAGATGGATGCGAACAAGGAAGTAACCAAGTGTCTCGTTTGCTACAATGCCCTTGTCTACGGCTTCGCCGATAGTCATCTGGGTGACTTGAGTGCTGCCACTGACTTGCACATGTCGATCGAGGAGGCTGAGCACGGTATCGCGCACTTCGCGGAATTTCTCGTGGCTCTTATCCTCGGGATCGACGAAGTGCTCGATTTCACCCATGGTGAACTCTCGAACACGAAGCAAGCCAGCGCGGGGAGAGATTTCGTTTCTAAAGGAACGACCAATTTGAGCAGATGCGAATGGCACACGACCGTTGTTGAATTCGAGAAGACGGGAGAAGTTAAGGAAGTGGCCTTGAGCGGTTTCTGGCCGCAGGTAACTTGGACGACATATTTCAAAATTCCTGATACACGGATAGAGAGTGGACTTACCCAGGATGTTGGCCCGTGGGACCGATACTACTAGCAAACATTAGATTGAATTGCTGAGGCTCGCCAACCTCGTTGTCAGTATCAGGGTTGCGAATATCGTATTTTCGGCAGAGCTCGCCGATTTCAGGACCAGAATAGTTATCTAGCTATTCGAGAGTTATGAGGAAGTATCAGACGAGAGATTAATGGCTCACCTGGGCAAGAATACTCTCAAACTCTTTGACAAGCTCATCTGCAAGCTGGACTGCAACAGTCTTCGCTTTTTTCTTCCTCTTTTTGTCCTTCTCATCATCTTTCGGTTGGGCAGCCAACCCGCGAGCTTCCCGATCGCCAGCAAGACGCGCTTCTAGTACGTTTTTGACGAGGTGATCTGCACGGAGGACATCACCAGTCTTGGTGTCCTTGACCATCCAGTCTGCAAACCTAGCGACGTGGCCGGAGGTCTCAAAGACGGGAGCAGGAGTCATGATGGTCGTATCGAGTTCCAGCATGTGATCCTCGATGATAAAATGCTTTCTCCATTCCGCCATGATATTAGCTTGTAATGACGAGCCTGGTGGACCATAGTCGTAGAGGCCAGCAACACCTGTGAATGCATGTTGTCTATATCACTGTTGTAGATCACGATAATAACGTGTCGCATACCGCCATAGATTTCAAAAGCTGGTGCATAGAAAAATCTGCGATTCAGCAGAGCATCCAAGCGGGACTTGTCGAACGGATGGGTTGATTTATTGACGACCGACATGTCAGAATGACTGTAGCGTTTCGTTGATACGAACAGATGAAAATTTGGAGGAGTTCTAAGATATGTGCAGATTGTAGTGGAGAAACCAATTGATCTGACTCGCATACCCGCCTGTCACGTTGATCGCCGAGTCAGATAATCTCCTGCCAGATCAGTCACGGTCTCCACCAATCACCTGAGCTGGTCTTAAGTTGAAAATGTTTATGTAACGGGCTGACTCGGACTCGGAGCACTGTGTTGAAGCGGTTAATGGTCATCTTGTGACTTAAAATTATGTACACTGTGGATTCTGGCTTGCTAATTATACGAGTCTGGGTTTTGGTTGCACAGAAATATTTTCCCAGCTGCACGCGGTCAGCTAATACTAAGCGTGAGCGCTCCCGACTTGTACCTCTCACCCCATCCTCCATCTGTGTCAATTTTGTACATAGTATTTACATTCTATCGCACCGAGCTCCAAGTTCCAACGTACAGTCAGTAAGTCAGGTCCAAGTGCTGGTGAGAAAGTTATATTGACAATTATATGCAGAACTTATATCATTTTCGTCGCTAAAAGCAACAATATGATGTAAAGGCCCCGTAGGGCCGACGTAACCACCCTGAAGGACTCATCGATACCGATGTAGCGCCACCTTCTCACTCTTGTTTTACTTGTCCCACTGCGGGTGTACTGACAGGTTCTCATGTCCTTCAATTACCAGGGCGCTCCGATTTACAATCCAAGTTCTCCGGACGTACTAGGACCGTCTACCTGGTCCAAGTTTGGAAATGCGTTGTTGGCTACAGCGCTCTTCAGATGCTGGAACATCCTAGTCTTCTTTGGTGCTTGGTCAACTGCTATCTGTGTGATCAACCATAGCGGCCATAACCTAGCATTACAGCCAACCCTTATCACCGTGTATGTCTCACCTTATGAGATGTCAGGGTACTTCACAGCCTTTTTCTAGATTTGGTACTGTCCTTGGTTTCGTCGTTTCCTACAGGACCACTTCTAGTTTTGAACGTTACAATGAGGGACGAAGGCTTTGGTCACAGATTGTGCTTGGAAGCCGTACCTTCGCTCGCACCGTGTGGCTACACATACCAGGTACGCATCAACCTCGTGGCTACCTTCGATGATGGTTGATCTCCTGCTTATAGACAATGCGTATCCGAGTACTCAGGCACTCACAGACCAGCAAAAGGAGGAATACAAGGCGAAGACTTTGATTGAGAAGAAAACCGTCGTAAACTTGCTCGAAGCATTTGCCGTTGCTGTTAAGCATTATTTGCGTGGTGAAGACGGTATCTACTACGAGGATCTGTATCACCTCGTTAAATTCCTTCCTACGTATCCGCTTCCGCCGACAATCCCTTCCGCCGTCGATCTTAATCGGACAAGTATCACGAATGATGATGTTCCTGCATCACCACGTTCAGAGAACTTCTATGAATCAGAACTCACGAGGAGAGCACCGGCTCCGGGTCAACTTCCGCTCCCGACTACTGCACCTACACCTTCCCTTCGGGTCGCGACTTTTACGACGGAAAAGACGCTTCACACCGACGAGCGTCCACAAAGGGGCGTAAAGTTAGCCCCTGCTATGAATCCGCCCAAGTACTCGCTGCTCGATCTATTCCCGTTCTCGCTACTGGTTCGGTTGTTGACAAAGGATGGGCTGCACAAGGACGGGCATGCTGTTCAAGGAAGGAGGGCCGCGAGACGGAGAGCTGCGATGCGCAGTCAAAATTTGTACAACACTCCCCTGGAAATCTCATTGTATCTGGTTGCTGTTTTTCCATAACGACCTATGTTTCGAGATCTGAATCTGGTACCTTAGGGTTCTTACGTCTCTGCCCTGCAATCTCGCAAGGTTGTTGATGCACCAACTACCAGTCCGTTCGCCGCTGTCCCCAAATTTTACGGAATTCTTACTATTGAAACCGCAGCTGTTCTACTCGCTACAATCACCCAGCTTGTAGATGCTCTAACCGGTCTAGAACGGATTCTCAGTACCCCAATACCATTTTCGTAAGCCCTGACATCATCGCTCTCGCGGGGAACTCATTTCAGCATAGATACTCTATTCATTTGTGGCTGGTAACAGTTGTATATTGTTTGGCTTTGGTACGGAGGATCTGTCCTCTCCCATGCAGCGGCCATTGATGACCTCTACAAATATAGCCATTCCAGGTCTGGTCAACGTTGAAATGGGTCACGATCCCTGCCACTGTTATTGCGGTAAGTCCTGACAGGATCACTGCGATCCCATCACACGCCTTGTCCGGAGTCGCATCTCCCTATCATTCATGCTTATCTTATAAAATAGAGTTTTATCTTCTTTGGCTTCCTCGTTGCCGGAGAGGAGATCGAAAGTGCGTGATGTAATTTCATTTCTTTGCATCATCCGCTCAGACAGCGTGCCTTCCCAGATCCCTTTGGTAAGTCCTGTTCCATGATAACGGGGGTGTCCGGCATACTCAATGCGTTTAACCCACCCAGGATATGACAAAAATGATCTGGTAAGTGCTGTCCGGTCGATCGCTGCCTCGGACATGCTCGAGTAATTTGATATTGACAAACTTTAATTCTAGAACATGGATCACTTCGTGCACAACATAATACGTAAAGATGCTTGTCAAGTCGAGCAGGACTGCCACTAACATCCCCATGTAGGCAAGGAGCTTCGCGCTATCATGACGGTGCCTACACCTGACCCTGGTGTGTGGGCGTTCTCCGAGGAGAACGACCTCCTTTTCGCGAGCTTGAACACAGAGGAACGCGTTTCACCCTCGGAGTGGGTGCAACGGGGTATACCAAAGATGCGAGATGCGCTTAGACTGCAGTGATCCGGATATCTCGGAGCCTGTGAAACGGGGTGCGTATGTGTGCATCCTACGCTCCCATACATGAGGCTCAGGCATTGCTTGCTCTTGTGCCTTTCCTTTGTGCCTTTCTCTTTGCTGTGTTTAATGTCGTCGAACTGTTCGTAGATGTTCATTGGACATTCCACTACTGATGGTTCCTTGTCGCGTGTGTCGTTCCTGCTGCTCTTGGTGCTATTCGCTCTGTATTCCTCCGATCTAGTACCACTGCCATCATGTTGGATGGCTTGGATTGAGGGCTTTGTGCTGTGCCGTGCGAATGAGAAGTCTTGCAAAGGTTTCAAGTGCTGTAACATGGTTCGAGTTGCCCGTATCTCACAATAGCGCTATCTAGCTTGATAGAAGTCCCTTGCGGTGACGAAGAACAGGGATAGCTTTATTTGTAATAGTATGCAATGAGCGCTCCGTCAATGCAGTGTCTTGGTGCTGTTATAGGTGATTCCTCCATTTCAATTGTTCTATACATAAAGGAACTCTTTCAAAACGTGCGTATCTAACTCCCGCCGCCGAGTCCATCCCCTATCTTCGAGATAGCTGTACATCGAGTTCGAGCTCGAGTTGCAAGATAACGTTTGTCCAAGTCAGGACAAGGTTTGTGAATTGCATATTGGAACTACGGGAGAAGAGTGAAGTTTTTGCATTACATGCAGGAGTAATTCAGAAATCTAGTGTATGTATATGGGCGTTTCGAGATTCTATTTGCAAATAATTCAAGGCGAGGTCGCCGCGTTGACTCGGAGATACGCACAGACCATCAATTAGATCATTGTTGGCAGTCGAAGGAACAGCAGCATGACGCAGTGGAAGCGTGCAGGGCTCATAACCCTGAGGTCACTGGATCGAAACCAGTTGCTGCTAAAGATATACTTTTGTTTTTGTTCTCTCATTGTCCTCGGTTGTCTCATTTGGACGCAGATTCACGGATATATCCAGCAAATCAGGGACCCCGCCACGAGCAAAGGGACCCATGCCCAATGTTGTTTTGGTCGGGCGTTGTTATGGTTTGTTAACATTCAAAGCCGTTGACAAATAAAACACAACCAAATGATTCCCATTTTGGCTCTCAAGATTCTTATGTTCAACCCTGATTTTACATGGCCTGGGTTTCACCGTTTATCGTGCACGTTGCATGGTGAAATTGGATAGCCTGGAGTCCGCCTGGGCTTTGAATGGCGTATCATAGAAACTTGGGTCTCTATGCAATAAAGTTCCGTGGTCGCTATTTTGGTGCGGGTCGGAAGCACTGCCGATTCGAGCCAGATATGGGCGACTACTACTTGTTGGCAGATCAACCCCAGGATATAATTTATAGAGACTCGTCTTTCTACTGAGAGAGGTGACCGATTAAGGTACTTGAGCACTTTGTAAGGACTGTCGGTGTCCTCAGGCTTTGTTGCGCAGTAGTTGAGTACCAGACCCTTTGGGAACAAAATTTTGGCGGACGTTGAAATTTCGTGGCACATATGCGAGCCTACCGAATATTGCGCCAATCTGTGAACATCGTGTTCCCTTGTTTCTGTTCTGTCATGAGCTTGTATTAGTCCTTGTAAATTCTATCATGTCTTGTACCTCGGATTCCAGCTCTCCATCACCAACAATTTCCCCAAATTCTGTGAGTGAATCATCATTCGACGTTATTATGTCGTTTCCACGGGGAAAAACTTGCTCATATGCTACCAGAATGATCGCTCAAACCTGAGTCTACTTTCCCTGTCTGTCGCTGCCGCAAGTGCTTCACCAATATCCATTCCCAAGTCTGCGGACATAGCTGTCCAACCATTGCATGGTATGATAATGTGGGGTTACGGTGCAAAGTACTTACTAATCTTTGTCTCGGAAGCATCTGGGACCAACTTTGGTCCCAAGCATCGTCGCCTGTCATCAACTGGCAAGACCAGAAGGAGATTGAGCGATGCGCGAGACGCAGCTACACGACCTTCGTAAGTTCTGCATTTAGCTTCCCCATATCCTAAATTCTCCCCTCCCCCACCTTATGTGCTGTCACTGCTTTAATCCGAATTTCATTACAAATCTGGCATCTAGACCGGCCTCCCTGCAGAGCATAGCTTTGTCCTCACTTGCCACCCTATCTCTTTCCTCTTCACCCCCGAGCGGTAATATCAATCATGGCACTTCCCTGAATGTGGTGTCCCGAAGTGTTCTTGAAACACAAGAACCCGACCCCACTACTGCAGTGCAGGGGGCTGATGCTGCAATGCGCGGCGGGAGTTTCGACGACAATGAATTGTCGGCATCGCTTCCTGCTCATGGTGGTCTAGGTACAAACGGCGGTATCGCAAAGAGCGGAAAGAAACGCGGTACAATATTTACGTGTGAGAGCTGTTCAAAGGTGACTTTTTCGTACCTTGAATTGTTTGAGTAGAAAGTGACCATGAGCCTCCAGGTCTACCGGCACCCTTCGTGTCTCATTAAACATCGCTGGGAACACACACCCCAGTGGCGCGAAGCCTCTAAGTTTGTGCTTAGCAAACATCAGCAAGTCCAATTGTTAGAGGTCATTGCCCCTGACTTGATAGCTGACAAAGGTGCTGATGAAAATTTCCTAGGCTGCTGCCATATTGTCGCATCTTTCACCCTCTTCTACAAACGGGACATCACTTCCCGAAGATCGCTCCCTTTGGCCTACCTTTCTCTCTGGCGGAATAGTCCCGCCTCCCGCTCCCGGGAGCGCTCACGAAGGATCTGGCACTTCATCTCCTTCGAAACTGATATCCAGCTCTGTTCCGGCATCCTCCGCCCTCAGCAGCTCGGGCCGCGCAGGCTCAGCCGGACCACGTCTGCACGACTACTCCATTTCCCAAGCCACCGGCCCAGGTGGCATCACCCAGCTGCGTCCAGGCCTCCTGGGCGTACCTACTACCCCGAACTCGCGCACGCCAAGCTCCCCAGTGCCGGTCCCCGCCGCTCCTACAGATGCCGACGCAAGGAACCTGTTGGCTCTTGGCTCTGTGAGCGTGCACTCAGAGTCTTGGAGCTCGCCAACCTCATCCTCGTTTTACTGCGTTTCGTCATTCCCGTCCGCCTCTGCATCCCTCTCGCGTTCGGGATGGTCACATCCACGCTCCTCCGTGCGTTCGATGTCTGCTTCTTCTCATTCAAGCGACGACGGCGAGCTTGCAGAAGACGATATTCCATCTGCGAATATGCACATTCACGGGCGGGTGAGCGGCACACGGTTCAGGTGGAAATCCGAGGAAGAGGATGCTGTATTGTCATTCAGCGTGCCTGAGGAGGTTGAGGAGGAGGGCATTAGCCCAGGCATGGTGAAGAAGTCTCAAGAACAATGGGACGGTATGGAAATGGACATGGAGATGGATTGATTCCCTCCTGGTATGGGCTCGCAGGAATGCAAGCCATCGATCGACCACGCGCCATCAAGTGAAGTAAAACAGACACGCAAACGATGTATTTCACTCTCTTCGCCTCGTTTCTCACAACGACAACAGATGTCGACTCATTGTGTACTCATTGAACCCACCGCATACCCCACGCTCACCTTTCTAGATTGGGCTATTTCGTCTTTGCTGTTGCCTGTTGTGTTGTTATCGTCGCTGTCTTGTATTTCTGAGACTGCGCCATTCGATTTTTCGTTGTGACATATTAGTGAGATATCTCTCCGAACTTTTTATTTCTTTGGTGTATGTATAGTTATTGGATGTAACACAATGTGGAATGAATCGTGGAATATTATTATCCTTGTACACGCATTATCCTGTAGGAATTTTCATCCTCGGGGAGAAGCCCAAGTACTAAGCGAAGGATCTTCATGTACACTGGCGATTCCGTGGAATCCGTTTGGTCGCGTCTCGTCTCATCACTGATGATGCGAACTTCGCTCGCGTAACAGCATAAGCAACTTCAAGCTGGTGCGGTGGACTAACCGGTAAGTATTATATCGTACTGCATACGCCTGTCGTTATATTAATAAAGCACGGATGATAAAAAAAATGACAAGGCCGCAACCGTGGTGCTGCCAGTGCAGAGAAGACATTCCCCATCCAAAAGGACACATCAGGGACGTGAAGGATAAATCCTCCTGATCGGCAAGCACGGATCGCTTGGCGTGATCCACGCCACAAACTGCGGACTGAATCACAGCAAAAAAAAAAAAACGCAAGCAATAAGCCAAGTCCATTCCGAAGCAATAGATACAACATTCACATAAACTGATAGGTTATAACTGTAAATAAACTATTTTCGTCCCGGATCCGGTATTCTGGGGAATCCATCATTTCTGCTTTCCAGAAGCAGCCTTTGTCGCAGCGCGCTCTGCGACGTGGAGCGAGGCAACGATATCTTTCCCTAGTCTCATGACAATCAAACTAGGGACGACGATCCATAATCTACACCAAAACGAACTATTATGACGTGTTAAACCGATAAAAAAGGAACACACGTACCCGTTGGGTATGATCCAGTATATGATAAGATCAGACGTGGTATTGTGTCCGATGGCACAGAAGCCGCAATAGTACTCCTGTAACCAGTATAAAATTGTTTTAGACAACGTCATGGTCGCTGCTGCAAACCCAAGAAGGGGGGCAGGGGACCAGTTCGAGACGTGTGCCAAGTACACGTATGAGAGATCGATGAATGTCTCTATAATATTGAGAAGAGCTAAAGGAAGTTAGTCAGTCGGAGTAATCAAGAACGAAAAGTACGCACATTGTGCGTTCGTGAACCCGTCATTGTCCTCTAGGGCCTTAATACCATAAACCTGATAAAGACCGTCAATGTGAAGATGTGATGTTTAGGGAAGTGTACTCACATAATCAATATTCTGGTATATTTCGTACGGTTTCCAGATCCAGTGGAGGTCTCCACCAAGCATGGATCGTGGACTTGTGTGATTCTGTTTAACGTGAGAGCATGCGACAAGGGCAAGGATACGTACCGCATGAAACAGTATCCTGCATCCCAGAGGACGACAGGCGCAGTGAGTATAAACCAAAGAGTAACCCAAGTGTAGGTTTTTACTGCCATTCTTGCAAAATCTGGTGTATGTGGTGGACCTGGTGGTATATGAGAAGGTCCAAGCTCGCAAGCTGTGGCCACGTATGTAGTACTGACCGTGTGAACTTTCCTTTGTGGATGTGTGTGTGGGAGCTTGAGGGACCTCTCCGTTGGATTGTTGACGATGATTAGCGTGCACATGGGCAGGCAAAGGCTTCACTCTGCGCGGTGCAGGTGAAGGATCATAATCAACGTCCACGTCTGTCTCTGTCTGGTCCTCCGATCCATCTGATAGTCGTGTTCGTTTACGACGCGGGCGACGGTTGTCGTTGCTTGCGTTCTCCCATCGAGAAGCATGTGCTGCAGAGAATACAGGCGTAATCATCAGGAATTTGCAGAATGTTGAGGGAAGCTGGTATGCTGTAATTTGAAGGAGTATGAAAGGGAAGACGAACTTTTGTCTTTTGGAGATTCTCGGCAGCGCACCTTCGAAACGTGTTATTGATCGCCACTCGGTTGCGGGCTGTTTTGTCCATGAGGCGCTCGTCAAGACAAGTGCAAGTCTCCAAGCAACACCGACATTCTCTGCGCTGTGTAGGTTCTTTTCTCTTGTCTGTTGCTTGCAATGACATTTGATCGTTATATTGGTAGTAGTGGAGCGATTTCTTTGTTAACGCCCGAGAAATCATCGCACTACTGGGCAGGTATCGAGCACGTTGTCAGCGATATAGGATATAGGGGAGCGTCTGCCGCACACATCAGGTATCAGGGTTCATTTCAGTGCTTGCAGTCTTACTACGGGATCCCAGAATCATATCAGTGCAGCTGCCAACATACTTCCCGCCCGAAGCGTGTCTTTCTTTTTGGGCGACTCTGTAGTGTTGCATTCTCGCGACTATTTGCACTCGTGGGGCAGGCCAGATACGGGTGTCACTTTACCTCCGGTTGACGATTGTAACAAGTTGAATATCCTTTATAGGAAAAATCGAGCTCTATATCCTCGAAGTTATCGCAACCCCAGCTCACAAGTTCGACCTTGGTACCATCTTCTCATCCTCCTCATCGATGGCGTCAATGTACGGTTTATTCCAGAATGCGATATACGGTCTGCGATGGTGATGTATGCCCAGGGAAACACACTGTTATCCCGTCGCGCATGGCTGGCTATGGCTCAAGTGTAGGGAACAGCAGGCTGCCCTGTGTCCGTCCCGAGGTCTCGCCTTTGATATGTACATCTTATGGAAGTACTAATTAGATGTACACGCATGATACACGCTCCTCGCTTCTCGATGCCAAGCTTCACTGATACTTATTGCGTCCTATTCAAGCAAGTGCCGACGTTATTTTGGTGCTACACAATGATTTTGTTCGTGCATAATAATGGTATACTGTTGAATGGAGACACTTGGCTTGCTGCATAGCTTATTAAATATTGTTAACGCTTTTCCTAGGCCAGTTTGAAGCCGAAGTCAGTCGATATTCACAGTGCCGCGAGGAACTATCTAGAGTTGGTGTTGAGTCGAAGTCGTTGAGGACCCCAACATATTGACCAATGTTTGAGGGTTTGTAGACTATGAGATTGTTGAAGACCATGTATCTGATTCCAAACCGTGGCTTGCAAACAGGATGTGCGGCCTGCGCCCTCAGCAGTCAGCAAAGTTTAATACTAGGTGAGTCTACATCATAACAGAAGCTACCTTGTTTGTGACATGACTGACTTCGGTATACTTTCAATACTAGTACCTCACCATGGCCAACGCTCAGGCTGGAGATGTCTTGATGCCGGCTTGGTGGAGCGATAATCCAGCAACAGGCTTTCACTGCGAAAATGCATTTATGTCAAAAAATCAGGAGGACGTAGGCATTGATGATGCTCAACGAGCAGACGTTCATCATCGCATTCAGAAGACTTCTTCTGATCGGAGCGCTGAACGAGACGAGTTCCTCAGTTCACGTCGTTTGCGTGTCGTTCCTCCTTGTTTTCTTTGCTAGTTGGAATAGCAGCCATCGTATCCTCTCCGAACATAGTGTCATGACAGCAACACTAATCCTAGCAATCTTGTAATATGCCGAACCCTGTCTTCAACAACTTCGCCTTATAATCGACTCTTTATATTCCCGAGAGCCAAGAGCGTGCAGGGACATGCCCTTCATGGCATTTAGCCTAGAGTCCATCATCAAAGGCAAGGTCTTGAAGCACCTGTACTAGCACGACGCTGAATAATTCATATGGAACCTGACACGGGTCTCTCTTCGTCACACAAGTGACAAGTTAAGGCTCCACGATGATCAGGATCGCAAGGAATTTAGAAGTCATGGCTCGTTACTGTAAGACTGTTCTCCAACACAGTTCATGATCAAACGAGGGGCGAAAGTTTACCAATACTCACCGATTTATCTGCTGCTTTTCGATGGTAGCAAGCAGTAGCAAGCCCACAACGAGAGCGTTTTTATATGTAGGTATCATGATGCACATGGCATGACTTGGATGAAATCCTCGAGTTGGCGCTAATTGGCCGTTCGATCGAGTTGTATGTTCATATACTCATACATGGGGTACGATGCCAGGAAAGCTCGGAATTGGTGCATGTGCACGCAGAAACATTGAGATGCCAGTGGGATGAAGAGGCAATCTTCGGTTAAAGCTAGGTTCTGGGTTGAAAGTTCAAGTTCAAGTTTTCTATTATGTAAACAAGAATGACTACGAGATCAAATGCGTTATTATGTTATGATCATGTCCGTCGAACTCATCCGACAGCATTTGGTCAGACTTTCAAGTCATCTCAGCAGCTGACAGTGCAGTCATGTCCCTACATCCGAGTCAGCCAAGCTTCTTTCCGACAACTTCAATAGTATGTTCAAATCCTTCGGACTTTCTATTTGTCTCTGCTTAAAGGTCCGGTAGGACCATGCAGCAGCAGGTCTCGGAGCAGGCATCGCCACCGTCCTATGCATGCACCCTCTCGATCTTCTCAAAGTCAAGCTACAGGTAGCTACAAAAAACCCACAAGGTGGAATTGGAAAAGCAATATGGAACTCTTTGCGTGAAATACATGCAAGTGAAGGGTGGAAAGGCCTGTACCGAGGCATAGGACCAAATATTGCGGGGAACGCGTCAAGTTGGGGACTCTACTTTCTTTTGTGAGTAACATTTTATCAGTTTTGTAATTTTCTTTGCAGGGTACTAATATACTCCAGCTACGACATGCTGAAAAAGCGTGCATACGGAGGTGACCCGAATCATAGAATGTCCCCTGGAGCATACCTACTTTGTTCCGCTCAAGCGAGTTCGCCCTATCATTCCCTCTTGTTTTTATGATGGTCTCTCAACTTGGATTCTATCAGGTGCTGTCACAGCTATAATGACCAACCCTATATGGGTTGTAAAAGTGCGTATGTTTACGACGCGTGCCGATTCACCAACATCATATCGTAGCCTCTCAGGTACGCCCGTCTTCTTTTCTTCAATTTGGTTTGTTAAATACACCGTGTTGTATCAGACGGGATTGCTTCAATATGGAGGCAAGAGGGCTTCTCTGGCTTGTGGAAAGGGACTGGTTTGGCTTTGGTCGGTGTGAGCAATGGTGCGGTGCAATTCATGGCATACGAAGAGATGAAACGATGGGGTTTTGAACAAAAGCAAAAACAGTTTACAAAGGCCGGAAAGGTGATAGGACCGGAGGACGATAAACTCGTGAGCTGTGACCCTTTTCTTTGCTTCGCATCTAAGACATTGACTAGTCAAACACATCATACACATTAATGTCTGGTGCGAGCAAGCTCTGGGCTCTAGCGCTTACTTATCCATACCAAGTCATTCGCTCTCGAATACAGGTGAGACGAATCTTGTTCGCTGCATGACATCTTCATCCCCATTTTAGAACAATGCCACCACTCACCTATACCCTGATATACCGACCACCATCAAACGCACTTGGCAAGGCGAAGGGATTCGCGGATTCTATCGTGGGATGGGGACGAACCTCGTGCGCGTTCTTCCTGGAACTTGCGTCACTTTTGTTGTATACGAGAACCTTGCATGGCTATTACGGACATCTGCAGCGCGAAGGGAAGAAAAAAGACGAGACATGACTACCGAGGATTGGATGCACAAATTTATTTCGGCTAATAAATAGCGCGCCGCCTTGCTATTAGAGAAAAGTAGCTCCTCTAAGTCATTTTTATCTCATTCGCAGTCTTCGTGAACGCGCAGCAACACAGCATGACGTGGACGCAATTGCACGTACTTCAATGGCCGCCACTTCATGTTCAAATGATAAAACCACGTAGGAGATTTGCCAGCAGAATATGACACGACGCTCTCGCACGTTCTACCAAATTTGTGCCAGCCGACAGTAATAAAGATTCTGCCAAATCGATCTGAACCGTGACAATAAGTATATGCAGGGTATAAAAGCTAGTCATCGCCCTACAGCGTTTCCCCATCCTCAGACAGAACCTCCTCACTGCTCAGAAGATAACCTCGCCCGGAAATGCGTTCATCCTTGTTCGCCATTGTTATTGCTTTAACAGCACCTATGTTTGTCGGTGCATGTATGACCGAGTTACTAGGTTGCATACACACTAGCGAATGCTGCCCTGACTTGGTTTGTGCAAGTTGGCAAGGCGTGAGTATGAGCAGTCGCTGTGCAACTAGGATCCAACCATGGCTCACCTGCGCGCCTCAGGATCCAAACAAGCAGTGCTTTCCAGCAAATTGAAATTGAACCGGCACGTCGCGACAGCTGGTGAGTCATGTTTCTACTTTCGCTTTGGTATCATGGTTAACGTTGATCTGCAAGCTGATGGTGCAATACCTAGTTCGCAGCCCATCACTACAGTTGGATTTGGACGAGTGATCATGCTGCTCGAGCAATGGGAATGTTTAAATTTATGATCGACTGTGTCTAGCTAGTCTGGTTCGTGAGTCCACCGATAAGCTGGGAAAATGAGCAAAGCGCAAGCTCAGATGGAGCGCGCGTTAATTCGATTGCCTCCACACGGAGTCTGGGGCCAGAGGTCCTACACGTAGAATAGATCTCAAGCTTAAGCGTCGTCGACTTATGTTTGATGATCAGTGTAGGAAATGCTCATGCTGCCCAGGGCCATAAGTACTAGTGCTAGCCACAGGCCTCAAACTACATCAGCATATTCGCACTACCTCCGTGGGCCAACACAACCGAGGTCACCTACTTTTGGATGTCGGGAAAGGATTGAGCAAGAAAGACGCAGCGAAAGCACGTCTACAGGCTAAAACGAATATCTTGCATCTCCTCATCCACTAGACGGAGCGATTATCAATCGACCAAGGGGATAGAACCAAAGCAGGTTGGACTGGGTATCAGAGGACGCAAGGTATTTTGGGGCTAGGAAGGAAATGCAGAAGTTTACCGTACGTAGGGCCACTTTACTAACTGAATCGTACCTGGTTTAGGGTAAAGAATAAAGCGCGGACACGAGCTTATGTCTAGGCCTTGAGCCCGGCCAGAAGTCGGCTCTTTCGGGACTCTACCCGCAGCCGTACATGCAGTAGTACGTAGATGAAGATTGCTGGCATGGCTTGGTTTGTATAAGCAGCTCGCTGTAACCACATACGCGCTTTAGGATGGAACTGCGTCATAGTCGGTTGGAAATTGAAATATTGAAGTGCGGCCATGTATAAGGGAGCAACGAGTGAGAAAGATGTCGACCGAGTATAAATCGGAAGTAACGACGAGAATGAGCATCAAGTTCTCATCTTTGTCGCTGTGCTGGCAGCGTCACTTCATGTTCAAATGATTAAACCATGTATGAAGGATTTGCCGGCAGATTATGACACGATGCTCCTGCACGTTCTGCCTAATCGATCAGAACCGTGACAATAAGTATATGCGGGTTATAAAAGCTGGTGATCGTCCTACAGTGTTTTCCCATCCTCAGAGAGAACCTCCTCAGAAGATTGCATATAACCTCGCACGGAAATGCGTTTATCTGTGTTCGCCATTGTTATTGCCTTAACAGCACCTGTGTTTGCCACTGGCCCATGTGCGGGCGAGTTCGGATTTTGCCTACATGCTAGCGATTGCTGCGCTGGCTTCGTTTGTGAAACTCGGCTAGACGTAAGTATGAGCAGGTCGCTGTGCAACCAGGATTCAACCATGACTCACCTGCGCGCCTTAGCTTCCAGACATGCTGTGCTTTCCAAAAAATTGAGCCTGCACGTCGCGACAGTGAGTCATGTTTCTGCTTTCGTTTTGGTATCGTGGTTAACGTCGATCCGCAAGTTGAAGGTGCAATACCTAGTTCACAGCCAATCACTACAGTTGGATTTGGACGAATGTTCATGATGCTCGAGCAATGTTGATGTTTAAATTTATGTTAGAATGATTGGTTGTGTCTAGTCTTGTTGGTGAGTCCACCGATAAACTGAGAGCTGTCGAAATGAGCAAAGCCCAAGGTCAGATGGGAGCGCGTGTTATGAGCCTTTGTTTTAATAGGTGTTGGTTTATAAAACTAGGGACTTGTAGCAGCGCTAGGTGATTTCAAGTCGATACAAATTAAAGACCAGGGCCCGGTCGACGGAACTTTTGTGGTACTGGGTGAGATCTGAGATTGATTGTCAGCTGAGCCGTCCGCGGTCCGATTTCCTGGCGTTTCGCGGAGTTCCGTAGTGCCTTGCCCCACGGTCAATACAGCAGCAAATACTCGCCTCGAGGCTTGCGGTCAAAGGTATGGCCTGTGATCATATTCAAACGACGTTGCTACCTACTCTGCCCGTTCTACCTCGCTCAGACTGATCCTTCACTATTCGTCATGAGCGACAGCAATCAATCGAGGGACTCGAGCCCAGTTCCTCCAGACGTCGCAGCAGGAAGCTCGGTAAATTGCTGTGCATCACTCTCAAACGCTGACTCTGATACCCATCTGTCCAGGTCCAACCACCACGCAAATTTTCTCGGTTTCTCAAGAAGGCCAAGGATGGTGTCGCGAAGAAGTTTTCTGTAAGTCGAGCAACCGAATTGTATTGGGATCAGGCTGAGATCATACAGAAGCGCTCGAACATGAAGAATTTGCGCAGCAACGAGCCTGAGGTAGGTCACCTTTCAGTTTCTGCTTTCTCTCTTAACTTCTCATGGTCGCACAGGTTCAGGATGCTCCATCTGTCGTAAAACAAACTGCTGATCCCAAATTGGAACTTAAACACGCCAAGGAGGCTGTCAAAGGGATGAAACCACTTTCGAAGCAAGTGCAATCTGCAGTATCTACCACCCAAAACGCGTCAGGGGATCTCGAGGACGCATATAATTTCCAGGATACATATCTTCAACCCCTCAGGATATTCGACAATGTTATCGGGAAGCTCGCGGATGTATGGGTCCATTACTCTTGGCTGGAACCAAACTAATCCCGCTCTGCAGGTACATCCATATGCAAAGATTGCACTGGGCGTCTTGTCTTGCGCTTCAAAAGTATGTTTGTCTCCTTTCTCGTTTCTCTTGTCCGCTCAGAAGTCATCGGTGTAGATGGTTATCGCCCAATCGGACCGCGATCAAGCAGTCAATCGTCTTGTTGACAAGTTGGAACAAGTTTATGACTTCGTGATGCAAGACGAGATGCTTGGCCAGATTTCACCGATGCGGGGTATCCTTGGACAGATCTCTCAGCAGACCCTTGAATGCGCCCGCTTCATCAGAGATTATTCAGAGACTAAGAACTTTTGTGAGTCTTCAAGCCGTTGCACGTTCCACATGCTCAGTCTTCTATTGTAACAGGGACGAGACTTGGGAAAAACATTCTCACCGAAACCAACAATGAAATTCAACAGTACAGCGATGCGTTGGATGCGCTTATGCAAAACTTCCGGGACCAAGTTTCTCGGGACGTCGTTATTCGCACCCACCGTATAGGTAAGGATTGTACTTGCTTCTGATGCAACAGCTATACATTTCTCTTCAGGTGAACTACTGGACCTCAGTGGCATAACATATGCAGCGAACGCGGGGCTAGATACCAGGAAAGAGTGTCTCCAAGGAACGCGGACTGAAATACTCTCCCAGATCACAGATTGGGTGAACAGCACTGGAGACGACGTTCAACGCGTGCTGTGGCTATCTGGCCCTGCAGGCAAGGGCAAATCGGCCATCGCCCACACGGTCGCAAAGTGGTTCAGCGATGCGGGAGGGCTTGGTTCATGTTATTGCTTCGACCGTGATCGAGAAGCCGACCGTCGTCACGAGAAGATATTTTCTACCATCGCACGGGATCTCGCTGACCGCGATTGGGGGGTGAGGCGAGCGTTGGCAGATACAGTCCAGAATGCCAGTGCGCTCAAGACTACAGCTGACATCTTCCAGCAATGGCAGAAGCTTCTGGTCGAACCACTACAGAAGCTCTCAGAGTCAACCACAGGCCCTGTCGTGATCGTGATCGACGCACTGGACGAGAGCGGCGCGGCCAAGACACGAAGCGACCTTCTTCGCATTCTTTCCGGTAAACTCCAGAACTCCGCTGTTCCTCAAATCACAGAGCTCCCAAAGAACTTCCGGTTTATCGTCACCTCTCGCCCGCTTCGCGACATTCAAAATGCGTTTGCGGGTGCTCAACACATTCGAAAAATTTCTATGGACGACATTCTACCTGAAGTCGCGGAACGCGATATCTACGCTTACGTGTCGAAGAAGCTGGAAGGGCTTTTGGATTTTGGGAGCAAAGAGTTTACAGCCCTGGCCAAGAAAGCTGATGGTCTTTTCGAGTGGGCACGTCTTGCTTGCGAATCCATAGAAGCACCTCCTCTCGGCTTGTCACCTGTTAAGTCCTTCAATGTCATAGTATCCCGCGATGGTGTCCAACGGGAGCACTTGTTATACGATATGTACGACTTCATTCTGACGCAGATCATGCCAAAGGATAGATACACAGACCCCGAATTTCAGCAGACGCAGTTAGCCATGTTTCGTTCCGTGATGGGACAAATTCTTAGCACGGCCGAACCCCTGCCTTTGGATTCCCTTAATGCCATGCGAAGTCATTTTCCGGATGAAACCGAGCGTTACAAAGTGGAGGACATAGTAGAACACATGGGATCCCTGCTCAGCGGCACCACCAATTCATCCACCCCAATTCGACCTCTTCACGCTTCCTTCCGCGATTTCCTCACAGACAAATCCCACAATAAAGAGTTTTTTGTCGACGTGCCTAAGGTTCAACGAGACCTTGCTTTCGCGTCACTTGGAGTGATGAAAGAAAAACTTTCGTTCAATGTATGCGACTTAAAATCGTCTTATCTCCCCAACTCCGAAGATCCCGGTCTACAAGAACGAGTTGAAAAGCGCATCCCCCCACACCTATCCTATGCCTGTCGATTCTGGCCTTCACACGTACAAGCCACCCACTTCGATCCAGAACTCGCCAAAGACATCAAATCATTCTTCGACCACGAGCGACTGTTCTTCTGGATCGAAGTACTCTGCCTCATCAATGCGCTCAGCGGCGCAGTCCCCGCCCTTCCGCTTATTGCCAAGTGGTTGAAGGTGAGCACATGCTTATCAGCGTCAGCTAACATGCTCACTGACGCATGATCGCAATTATAGGGTCGCACAGGATATGAAGATGCCTCGTCTGCTGCAATAGATGTGCAGAGGTTCATTCAACTCTTCGGCCGTATCATCTCGCACAGCACACCTCATCTCTATGTATCAGCACTGCCATTCTCGCCTCTCAACTCTGCACTATCCGGAACGTTTTCTACACGGTTTCCGAACTCTCTTCGTGTAGCATCTGGACGTGAAATCAACTGGATGGCTGCCCTGACTGTGATCAGCGGACACACCGATGAAGTTAACTCAGTCTCGTTCTCGCCGGATGGGACTCGCATCGCGACTGGATCGAAGGATCGCACTGTGCGGTTGTGGGATGCAGCAACAGGGCAGCCAATAGGCAAGCCCTTGCTGGGACACACTGGTTCAGTTACCTCAGTTTCATTCTCACCGGATGGGACACGCATCGTGTCTGCCTCGGAGGATAACACTATCCGGTTGTGGGATGTAGCAACGCGGCAGCCCATTGGTGAACCCTTATTAGGACATACTCGGTCGGTTAACTCAGTCGCATTCTCGCCAGACGGAAGTCGCATTGTGACAGGTTCGGCCGATAATACAATCCTGCTGTGGGATGTAGCAACGCGAAAGCCAGTTGGTGAGCCCTTGAAAGGGCACACTGATCGGGTTAGGTCAGTCTCGTTCTCTCCGGATGGGACCCGCATTGTCTCTGGTTCGTTCGACAGGACTGTCCGGCTGTGGGATGTGGCGACGGGGCAGCCTGTCTGTGAGCCCTTAGAGGGGCACACTGCTACGGTCTGGTCAGTCTCTTTCTCTCCGGATGGGACTTGCATCGTCTCCAGTTCGTACGACATGACTGTCCGGATGTGGGATGTGGCGACGGGGAAGTGTGTTGGTGAGCCCATGAAGGGGCACACCAGTTGGGTGAAGTCAGTTTCGTTCTCGCCGGACGGAAGTCGCATTGTGACAGGTTCGTTCGATCGGACTGTCCGGCTGTGGGATCCAGCAACAGGGAAGCCAGTCGGTGAGGCCTTGCTGGGGCACACTGGTTATGTCAACTCGGTCTCGTTCTCTCCGGATGGGACTCGCATCGCGACTGCTTCTAGTGATAACACTGTCCGACTGTGGGATACATCTACAGGGAAGCCAGTCGGTGAACCTTTGCAAGGACACACTAATTCCAATTCCGATCCCATCACTTTAGTCTCGCTATCGCCGGATGGGACCCGCTTCGCCACTGGTTCTTGGGATGGTACTGTCCGGCTGTTGGATGCAGCAACAGGTCACCCAGTTGGTGAGCCCTTGTTGGGGCACACTGGTTATGTTCGCTCAGTCTCATTCTCTCCGGATGGGACTCGCATCGCAAGTTGTTCTGCAGATAAGACTGTCCGGTTGTGGGATGTAGCAACGCGACAGCCAGTTGGTGAGCCTTTGGAAGGGCACACTGAAAGGGTCAATTCAGTCTCATTCTCTCCGGATGGGACTCGCATCGTCTCTGGTTCGCACGATTGGACAGTGCGGCTGTGGGATGCGGGGACAGGGCAGCCAGTTGGTGAGCCCTTGCGGGGGCACACTGATGATGTCTGGTCAGTCTCTTTCTCGCCAGATGGAACTCGCATTGCGACTGGTTCTGCAGATAAGACTATACGGGTGTGGGATGCAGGGACAGGGCAGTTAGTGGGTGAGCCTTTCTGCGGGCACACTGGTGAGGTTACCTCAGTGTCATTCTCTCCGGATGGGACATGCATTGTTTCTGGTTCGGACGATAAGACAGTCCGGCTCTGGGATGCAGGAACGGGACGGCCAGTTGGTGAGCCTTTGGAAGGGCACACTGATTACGTTAGATCTGTCTCATTCTCCCAGGATGGGACTCGCATTGCCTCTGGTTCGGACGACAGGACTGTCCGGCTGTGGGATACAAGAACGAGGAAGCCAATCAGTCAGCCCTTGTTGGGGCACAAGGGTGTTGTCCGCTCGGTCTCTTTCTCGCACAATGGGACTTGCATCATTTCTAGTTCATGGGATGGGACTGTCCGTGTGTGGCACGCAGCCATTGGGAGGTCATTGCAGAACCATGCCGAAGAAGATTGTTCATCATCCTCCCCGCACGGCAGTTGCATCCCACATCCAACAGCATTCATCCCCACACCCAATACTGCGAACGATGACTTCATTTCCTTCTCATCACAACCGACTCATGCACTGCGTGACACTGCTGAACTACTCGCAGGCACCCCCCATGACGATCACACATTTGCGCTGGGAGGCGATGGATGGGTGTTAGGACCTAATGATCGGCTCTTATTCTGGGTGCCACCCGCTTCTCGAAAACCGTTTTATAATCCTCGGACAGTATTAGTGATACCCAGAGGTGGTGTTGAGCTTGATCTGAGTCTCATGGCACATGGGACACACTGGCAGCGCTGCCGCAGGGAGTGAGTCTTCAAGTTTTACATTCCTCGCAGCTAATCAATTCGATCCTTATAGCCCTTAATTACGATTAAATTGATTTGTGCAGACGTCAGATATACTTTGTCGAGTACGATATGCAGTGTACAGTTAGTCCATCGTCTATTATATATACGCAGTATTGCATTTGAGCGAACAACATGATGTTCGAAAGGTCGTGACAGATCTTTGAGAACATGGAACGATCATAGTGCGGTGGAGGAAACCAATGGAGAGAATAGCATGTTCAAAGCGGCACCTCCCAAAGTTGATTGCAGAAAGTGAAGAACATTGCAGGGCAATAGCGGAGAAGTGTTTGGATATTGTGGGTGGTCTGGTTTTCGTGGCACACAGCACACGCACGGTTTAAATATTGAGGGGACTGGGTCAACGGGAAGGAAAGCAGTTCGTTGTGTACAATACAACATGTGTATGGCGATAACGAGCTAGTGCCATGAGAATGATGGGTGCAAAAACATTGAGACGTAAAGGCATAGAAGAATACGAAACATGTGAAGAACGAATGGAAACGGACAAGCGTCTGGCAAGCGCAGCAATACGAGACACGATTCTTCATTAAGCGTGAAGAGGTTGATATTGGGCGCGGCTTACCGTGACACTCGGTTTGACCATTTAGCCCTTGGCTATCATCGACATCCTCCTTCATTTCGACTGCTCCATTCTTCTGCCTGCAAACTCCGGGATACCTCGTAACCGTACACGTTACTGCAAGCATCGTCGACTCGGGGATGCGGAGCAGCAAATTGCAACTAATGTCGTGGTCAAATACGTTCTCGGTCTAAACCTAAAACAGGACAATGTGAGATCATGTGGCGTCAGACGTCGAACCTAAGCCTTCATCACTGAAATTCAATTTTTGCTATCAAGTCTTGTATTCCCTTTATATAAGGGCTAACACCTATAGCTATAGTTACTACCCCTGACTTTCCCTGTGAAACATCGAATATCGATCAACCAAACCTATCAAAGCTTACGAAAAATGGTTCAGTGCCAATATTGACACCGTCGTCAAACCAATAGAAACCATCATCAGGGCGAGCCTTGATCTGGCTGAATTTCGCCAAAGTGTAAAGGATGGCGTCGATGAACAATATTTATACTCGCCATTGGTGAGTACTCAAGTTGGCCTTCGTTCATTATCGAGACATTCCATAGCAAATCATATTTCGCACGATCGAGGGTGCAGCTGCAGAAGTGACAGGATATAAACGAACACAGTTTCGACAGCTGGTGTCAATGGCCGATCACATCCCTGATGCTGAAAATATGTCCTTTCCTGACAACAAGCCTGACTGAAGTACTGACTGAAGTACCTCCGACCTCGGGCCCCTTGACTCCTGCCATTGATGTGGGGCGTGACAGCGTCAAGTGGAGGCAGATTTCAGCGTTTGTTGAAGTGAAACCCCACGTCCGGGAAGGTCCCACCCGACCGAGTGATGACTACGACATCCTCCAAAATCTTGATATCCTCGTCAGTGTAATCCTTCAGCTCACAACACACATGACTGCCTATCATATCGGACACGACAGGTCGGCTCGCTTGCTTGAAGGACACCCGTACTACCAGTTCAGGTATCCCTCCTTCCTAGTTAGCATGGGCGCAGCCGGTGACACGCGTCTGTGGAAGACCGAGGGTCCCCCTATATGGTCTTCCTTGTCTTTACTAGGTCGCGGTACAGCCACGTGGAGAGCCGTATTGGCCGAGAACAAGCCAAGGAAGAAGGAAGTTGTTGTTATCTTGAAAACCTTATGGAGGTCGCAAACTCGGGAAAGCGAATCCAACATTTATAGCCGTATCAAGTCACCTTTGCCAGGCGTCGCTGAATTCAGTCTTGGGGCTGATGTTTGCATTCCCCTAGGAATGGAGACCAATGCTCGTGTTACGATCGGCACCCTCCGTTCACTCATTCTCAATGATGATGCTGGCGTTCCCGATGATCCTGTCCTCCATCGTCTCGCGCTGGAAACTGCGGGATGCCCCTTGTGGGATGCCGACACAACGAAAGATTTTATTTTAGGGTCTCTTGCTGCGCTCAAAGGTTCGGCATCATTCAATTAGCGCTGATCGTTTTCCTGAACCGTCTCATTTTTAGGACATCAAGGACTAGTGGAGCAAGACATTCTTCATCGAGACATGAATCCAGGCAATATCTTTGTCGGTGGTCCGGATTGCGCTGAAGGATGGGAGGGGTTTGTCGCAGATCTCGAGCTTGCTTCGGTGGCACACCCAGGGACTCAAACCGTAGTCTCATTGCATACGCTCTCCCCCGTTGCCGGCCAGTTGAACACTGGAAGTGTATTTCTGGAGGAAACCGTTCCTTCGAGCTCAAAGGCTCCTGGCGCAGAGATCACAGTACGTCTACTTTGTAACTTGCTTGCTTCCAATAAATATTATCTTCAGGGTACTGCTTTGTTCATGGCTGAAGAACTCCTATCCATGATGCTTCTCCCGGACAAGAAGAAAATTCGACCAGCCCAAAGCAAACGCGAGGTGCATCATGACCTGGAGTCATTCATTCTTGTTCTTTTCTATTCGATCATGAAACGTGGTCTGGAGCGCCGACTTTGGCACAAGAATCCAGACGAAGAATTTGAGATACGAGAACTTTACCGTACTTTGTTCGGCGGCCATACTATTCGGCTCATCAAACTAGGACGGTCCTGCTTTCTCGATGCAAGAAACCCCCCTGTATATCTTTTAGATGTCCTGGACTCGCCAACGGAACAGCTACTTTATGGATGTTGGAGGCTTTTGCAAATCCAGCGGTCCTCCAATGTTTCTACGAATGAACGTAGAGCGAAAATTGATCAGATGATGCAATGGAAGATTGGCTCGGAGGAGCGGAAGGTGATCACTTATGAGCAGTTGTACAAGCTCTACGACCAAGCGATCAGCGAGCTTTCAAGGGTTCACTAGGGATTGTGTACTTTTATTCTGTCGTCGAAGAGAAAGAATTCCATAAAGTCAATGTGATATAACCCATAGGATGCTGGTGATTATTTACGATGTATACAAGGTAATATTTGTCCATCCAAACGGTTCACTGGTTTCCACTCTTGTACGTTTGGTATAACGCCGCAGACTGTGAAGTCGACCTGCACATATGGGTTGAAAATTGAAAATTGAGTCAGCAGTTTGAGCGGTACGTCGCAACAGTGAGTCATGTTTCTAGTCCAGAGTCGATCAGTCCTTCGTACTGCTCGAGTAACGCGACTCGCTCGGTTCTATTGCGGGACTGCTATGACGCGGCGTATCCCAGGAGATGCGGTGATATGAGAAATGGAATTGGGTCACAGTTGCAGGTTCTACCGGAATTTGTGCCATCTGATAGTGATAACGATTCTGCCTAATTAAATTAAGTAAAATCGTGTCCATGAGTATATAAAGCTGAACATCGTCCTACAGTGTTCCCTCATCCTCAGAGATATCATTCGAGATTCCTTCCAGAAGATTATATATCACTCAGCACAGAAAATGCGTTTCTCCTTCCTCGTCGTCGTCGTCGCTTTGACAGCATCCCTGTCTGTCAGCGCCGCATGTAACGGAGCACCTTGCAGATCAGATAAAGATTGCTGCCCAACCATACCTTGTGTGAGTATGAGCAGTGCAACTAGGATTCAACCACGCGACTCACCTGCGCGCCTTAGAATAAGGCAAAGGGGATTTGTTCAATATGGGATGGAAATTGAAAATCGAGACGACAGTTTGAGCGGGATGTCGCGACAGTGAGTCGTGTTTCTGATTTGCTTTGATATCATGGTTGATGGTGCAGCACCCAGTAGTCTGGAGTCGATTTTTTTCGTACTGCTCGAGCAACGTGCATGTTTGAACTTGTTGAGAATTGTCGATAGTGCCTAATCTTGCTCGTGGTCCGCTAAACCTGAGTTCAAAAGACTGTCGAAATGAACGATCGTCGCTGCTGATGATTAATACTGGGAGGTCGTTACGAAGATAGAACGCACCGCGCAAAGTCACAGACAATCTTGAATCCGTTCGTCTAACGTTAGCCTCAAAGGCTAGCCATAGATCTCTCCCTCTCTGGTGTCTCCGTGATTCGTGACAGATGTGTTATTTTCTGGTGTGTAATCAAAGCCCAAGGTCATACTGGAGCGTGCACTGATGAAAGTGGGAAAAGAGGCCCAGCGACAGATGTGAAGATTAAAAGGAATGAATATTACTGACTGAGTACTTCCCATCATAGAGTAACGTGGGGAGCTTGAAAGTTATTCTAGCGATTGTTGAATCAATGGATAGCCTGGGTACAAGGGACGGTTCGAGTCGATGAGGAAAAGAAACTCGGTAGAGCGTTAGCGGTTGTTAGTAATTAGTTTCGTGACTTTCACCAACGCCGTTGCTTGTACCCGAGAGAGTACAGCGTCATGGACCAAGTTGTACAAGATGTGCGCGATCTAGTGAATACCATAGTATTGATACGAATGTTCAAGTTTGCTGATGGCAGGGAGTGCTTGTTCGACTGCAGATTACATAATTGAACTTCGTACGTGCTACTAGTAACCTTGACTGAATTCGAAGCAACTGCGACTGGAGTTGGGAAAGTTGGTTTCACTGAAATTAGGAACAATCATCAAGAGCTATCAGAAATTACCCAAATGTTTCCCCTGATGCCCATGGCAGTGTCGATATCGTTGTGTGACCAAGTCTCGACGTAAGTCTGAAATCACAACGGTCAGTCAAATCAGGAATGGCGACATCAAAGGAGTGCTCGAATGAGCTCTTGTTCTTTGAATGCGCTTGTTACACAGTTCTCCTGATCAACGAGACTTTGAAATTCACATGACAGCAAATACAATAAGAGTACAAAATACTACACATGCATTAGGATCACACCTGCGCCCGGTTATATTTCATTTCCTCCAGCTCACATCCTGTGGCCGAGGTTGACATGGACAGCCTTCACTGCAGTGTAACTGAGAGCATATGAGTTTGTACTAATATACCATTGACGCAACACTTACTTAGCTAGGGCATAGTCGCCACATTCACGACCGATACCGCTCTGCTTGAAACCGCCGAATGGTACATTGGAGTTAAACGAGTTCACGCAGTTAATCCACGCAGTTCCAGCCTTGAGTCTGTGCGCGGTGTTAATAGCACGATTCAGGTTTGGGGTGAAAACAGCAGCGGCAAGACCGTAGAGCGTGTCATTTGCCTGCTTAATCACATCTTCCTCGTCCTTGAACTTGATTACGACACAAACAGGACCGAAAATTTCCTCTTGGACGATCTTCATCGATGGGTCGACATTGGTGAAGATGGTGGGCTTGATGAAGTAACCCTCGCTTCCATGACGCTCGCCACCAATCTCAACCTTGGCACCAGCCGCCTTTCCAGACTCGATGTAAGACATGATACGCTGGAACGTGCATTAGACAGATGATTGGTTACGGAAGTCACGACGTACATTGAATTGAATCTCGGAGACCTGAGGACCCTGGAAAGTCTCAGGGTCAAATGGGTCGCCGACCTTGAGCGACCGAGTTTTCTCCATGAAGCGTTTGAAGAATTCATCATAGATACCTTCTTGCACGTAGATTCGCGAACCTGCGGTACACGTCTGACCGTGGTTCCAACTGGTGAAATATAAGTGTAGTCTGCATGACAGCATAATGGACTCACAAAATACCGAATACAGCCCAGTTGACAGCTTGTTCGATGTCTGCATCGTCAAAGATGATGTTTGGACTCTTTCCACCAAGTTCGAGGGTGACGTTCTTGAGGTTGCTCCTAGCAGCAGCCTCCATGATCTTGCGACCAACAAGGGTTGAGCCAGTGAAGGCGACCTTGTCTATCTTCATGTGCGAAGAGATGGCATTCCCGGTAGTGTTTCCGTAACCAGTGAGGACGTTGACTACTCCGGGCGGGAAACCAGCCTCGTTGATAAGATGGCACATTCGGATGGCGGTCAGGGGTGTGAATTCTGAAGGTTTTAGAACGACTGTGTTGCCGCATGCAAGAGCAGGGCCAAGTTTCCAAGCCACCATGAGCACTGCGAAGCGAGGAGTGAGTACATAACACTTCAAAAGAAGCGGCTGATGTGTACGCACATGGGAAATTCCATGGGATAATTTGACCCTATTACACGAGTATAAGAGAAGGGATCTGGGAGCTGAGATAAGTGGGCTTACAACGACACCGATGGGCTCGTGGCGACTGTAGGTGAGCTTGTCCTCGGTGGTCTGGCCAATTGTGAGCGAATGAGCGAAATTGATCGATGAAAAGGTTCAAACCTCTTGTACTTGACCAGTGACCTTATCAGCCCAACCGGCATAGTAGCGAATACAATCGATGGAACCGGCAACATCGATATTTCTTGCCCAATTGAAGGTCTTGCCTGGCGATTATTTGGTCAACGAGTGAGATTGCTACTAATCGGCAAGGATGCTGACCATTGTCTAATGCCTCCAGAGCGGCAAGTTCATCGGCATTCTTCTCCATGAGGGCAACAAGCTTTGACATCAAAACGCTACGCTGAGCGCCGGGGGCATGAAGACCCCAGGTAGTGTCGAAAGCTTTATGTGCAGCGTCGACAGCGAGGTCGACATCCTTAGGGGTACCCTCGGACACTGACGTTATTACCTTTCCATTTGCTGTGCATCGAGTTCGTGTAAGATCATTGATGCCAATGTCAACGGAACGTACTTGGATTGATGACACTAAAATTGTTGAGATCAGTAAGAAGTGACAGGTGTAGAGCATACTCAATGGTGGTATTTTCCAATCCATCCAGGAACTGGCCGTTGATAAAGAGACCGGTGCTGAAGGAAACTTTTCCCTTGAAAGCGGGTGCGTTGAACTCGTGAGTGAATGTAGAGGGCATGATGATAATGGATTGGTATATCTCAAGTTGTGTATATATGGGAGCGAAGTGCCATCATTACAACCATCATTGATTTCATCTGCTAATGGCCCAGCATTTTCAAATTCGTTGTAGCATCTCCATGGATCAAGGAAGCTCACATGCGTTCGAACAGAGAGACTGGGCCCGGGAGTGTGAATGAACACTATGACATTAAGTACTACCTAGAACAGAGAGACTATTAGTAGTCGGATAGTGTCTGTAGCTGTACCAGCGGCAATATCAAACATACCTCGGCGGGAGTGTGAATCATTGAACAAGCTCAGACGCTCGTGGCAGTTGGACGGGGTTGATGCTATTTTTAGATTAACCAAGTGCCAAGCCCATGCATAGACGTTATTTATTCAATCTTTGCGCCCCAAGTTGAAACGGCCCTCAAAAAGAACCAGCGAGCTACTGGAATCGAACATCGACAAAAAGACGTTCGGATCTCTTGCCTACACTATCCACGACCGCTTTCGCATCACTGCACAACCACCTCCCAGGCTCAAACCGCGAAGGACTAGAAGTGGTGGTGTGAGTAGATGGAAAGACCAGCAAAGTTAGACGTGTTCTGTGTCTGGGTATATGTCGCATTTATCTATCTATCCCGGACTCAGACTCGTTTCACACTCTTCGCTACAAGAACCGATAGTTCATCCTTGGAACGAGTCTAGAAATGAGCTAGATCAATGTTCTTTCTATGCGCGCTCCCGTATGATGGCCTTGGGCTTCGACCACTGCATACTAGAAGACAACACATCTGTCACGAAATCACAATCAGACATGAAGTGGCGTCTTGTTGGCTCCATCGCATAGAGGGGGAGAGACGAATGAGCTAGCCTTCGAGGGCAACATTAGAAGAACACATTCAAGCTGCGCAGTGCATTCCATCTTCGTATGAACTTCCAATATTGATAATCAACAGCCTGGGCGACGGTCGCCCATCTCGACAGCCTCTTGAACTCAGGTTTAGCGGGCCACGAGCAAGATTAGGCACTATCGACAATTTTTCAATAAGTTCAAATATGCACATTGCTCGAGCAGTGCGAAAAAAATCGACTCCTGACTACTAGGTACTGCACCATCAACCATGATATCAAAGCAAATCAGAAACATGACTCACTGTCACATCCCGCTCAAACTGCCGTCTCGATTTTCAATTTCCATCCCACATTGTACAAATCCGCTCTGCCTTATTCTAAGGCGCGCAGGTGAGTCGCGCAGTTGAATCCTAGTTGCACTGCTCATCCTCACACAAGGTATGGTTGGGCAGCAATCTTCATCTGAACTGCAAGGTGCTCCCTCACATGCGGCGCTGACGGACAGAGATGCTGTCAAAGCAACGACAGTTATGAGGAAGGAGAAATGCATTTTCTGTTGCAAAGTGATATAGAATCTTCTGAAAGGAACTTCGCACGATATCTCTGAGGATGAGGGAACGCTGTAGGACGACGTTCAGCTTCATATACTCCTGGACACGATTTTCTACCATATTGCGGGATACGCCGCGCCATGGCAGTCCCAAAATAGAACCAAGCAAGACACGTTACTCGAGCAGTACGAAGAACTGGTCGACTCTGGACTACTAGGTATTGCATCATCAACCATGATATCAAAGCAAAATTAGAAACATGACTCACTGTTGCGACGTACCGCTTGAACTGCCAGCTCAAATTTCCATTTTCGACCCATATGTGCAGGTCAACTTTACAGTCTAAGGCGCTCAGGTGAGTCGTGTTGTTGAATCTTGGTTGCACTGCTCATACTCACGTTATTAAATTTACAAAGCCAGGATCTGCAGCGATCTTTATCTGATTTGCAAGGTGTTTCGCTACATGCACTGACAGATATAGATATAGATGCTATCATAGCAACAGCAATGGCGAGGAAGGGGAAACGCATTTTCTGTGCGAAGTGATATGCAATCTTCGGAGGGGAATCTCGATTGATATCCCGAAAGATGAGGAACACTATAGGACGACGGCCAGCTTTCATATCCTGCATATAGTACTTATTGGCACGATTCTAATCGATCGAGCAGAATGGTAGACACGTATACCACCATCTGTGCGTCAGATGTTCATGTCGTGTCCG